CCGCTGTCACACCTTGCAGATTTATCCAGCGTCTGCCTGACGCCCCAGAATCTCCTAAAACGCTGGCATACGCTGAACTTTCTATGGATCATTTCTAATCTGGGTGTATACATAGAGTATTCATAACGAGTCCAGAACTTCTGTCCAACCACAGCCTAACTTCTGCATAACACATGGCAGCGTAATGCCCATGAAATTATGCAAAAGTCAGTGTCCTGAGGGGGCAGCGATGGTGCCCGGTCTGCAGAAAAAATATGTCTTTGATTAAAGTATTAACCAAGCTGCTGTTTGCTGCCAGCCAAAAAAAAAAAGAAAAAGAAAGAAAGAAGGTTTTTGGTGGCAGCAGATTGAGCGTCATGTCTGCTAGGAAGTTTGTTGGTGGTGGACGTGAACGCAGGGAGGATCCATCACCCTCACCTTCTCTCTCACCCGATGATGGGGATGAAGTCTGGAGGAGAACTGATGGTTTCCTCCTGTGAACCCCTTTATACCAAAACTCTGCCAATACGCCATTATACAGTAGCTGGAAGTTAGAAACACGTTCAGCGCTCGTCTGGAGAGAAGTTCTTGATAAGTTACACAGAAGTTAGTCAAAGGTTTAGGATAAGCTAGACGCCACGACTGATGAGGAACTGACACTGAACCTATGTCAACCAACAGATGGCAGATGCTGGAATACGGCGAGATGTTTACGATGTACTCGCTGTATGTCGACGTGTGTTTCAGCGAGTGTTTCAGCGTACTTCAGCGTGCTCATAACTTACACAAAACGTACCCATAACTTGTCCAACATTTGCCAGCCTTTTTCCTACATCAGGCATACGCTGGCTAAACCATCAAGGTGTGACAGGAGCTTAAATCAGCTATGAATGGAAGTCAGTGACCAGTCAGATTCCATGTTTATTTGAAAATCTGCACTAGTTTATTGAACACCTCGGGTCCCTCGGTTGTTTGAAGTCTGGCTAAGAAGAGCAGGAACTATATATATGTTTTAAAATTTCTTCTATTCAATTAAATCAAAAAAGTAAACATATTTAATGTCTCCTTAATTTGATCATCACCGCCGTCACATTTATCAGACAGCATGGGATTAAGCTCCTCCATTATTCCAATGAAACAGACCATCGACTACAGGCAGGTCTGAAGATGTCATAATCCTGGCGCTGATGATTGGTTTTTCTAATTGGCCTCGCGGCTGATTACCCCTGATTTGATTCACCTGGTCCCCACAGCCAAGGGGGCAACTTTATGATGAAAGTTGGTTTGGGGGGGGCTCTGAGGGTGGGGCTGATGGACCAAAAGTGACTCGACCCAAACGCTTGCATTAGCTTTTTTGTATTTTCCAAAAACGAGCTCAAACATATATTTATTGAATGCTTTCCTGTTGTTGAAAACACAAGAGAACCAAAAAACACTGGTATTTATATTTATAGATAGTAAGATGCCTTTTAGTACATTACATATATATAGTGCCCAAAAACATTAATGTATAAAAATAACATATAACAGTCGATTCCGATGCCTTGATCAATATTTCATGCATTCCTAGAAGTACAATTTAAATTCCATCCATCCAGAAAAATATGGATATGCTGCATTTTAATTTTAGCATAGCATATTTTTTCCTGTAAACTTTCTGGTAAACTTGGAGATATACACTCACCGGCCACTTTATTAGGTACACCTGTCCAACTTAAGTTAACACTTAATTTCTAAGCAGCCAATCACATGGCGGCAACTCAGTGCATTTAGGCATGTAGACATGGTCAAGACAATCTCCTGCAGTTCAAACCGAGCATCAGTATGGGGAAGAAAGGTGATTTGAGTGACTTTGAACGTGGCATGATTGTTGGTGCCAGAAGGGCTGGTCTGAGTATTTCAGAAACTGCTGATCTACTGGGATTTTCACGCACCACCATCTCTAGGGTTTACAGAGAATGGTCCGAAAAAGAAAAAACATCCAGTGAGCGGCAGTTCTGTGGGCAGAAATGCCTTGTTGATGCCAGAGGTCAGAGGAGAATGGCCAGACTGGTTCGAGCTGATAGAAGGGCAACAGTGACTCAAATAACCACCCGTTACAACCAAGGTGGGCAGAAGAGCATCTCTGAACGCACAGTACGTCAAACTTTGAGGCAGATGGGCTACAGCAGCAGAAGACCACACCGACAATAGAAGATTGGAAAAACGTTGCCTGGTCTGATGAGTCTCGATTTCTGCTGCGACATTCGGATGGTAGGGTCAGAATTTGGCGTCTACAACATGAAAGCATGGATCCATCCTGCCTTGTATCAACGGTTCAGGCTGGTGGTGGTGGTGTCATGGTGTGGGGAATATTTTCTTGGCACTCTTTGGGCCCCTTGGTACCAATTGAGCATCGTTGCAACGCCACAGCCTACCTGAGTATTGTTGCTGACCATGTCCATCCCTTTAGGACCACAATGTACCCAACTTCTGATGGCTACTTTCAGCAGGATATTGCACCATGTCATAAAGCTGGAATCATCTCAGACTGGTTTCTTGAACATGACAATGAGTTCACTGTACTCAAATGGCCTCCACAGTCACCAGATCTCAATCCAATAGAGCATCTTTGGGATGTGGTGGAACGGGAGATTCACATCATGGATGTGCAGCCGACAAATCTGCGGCAACTGTGTGATGCCATCATGTCAATATGGACCAAACTCCCTGAGGAATGCTTCCAGCACCTTGTTGAATCTATGCCACGAAGAATTGAGGCAGTTCTGAAGGCAAAAGGGGGTCCAACCCGTTACTAGCATGGGGTACCTAAAAAAGTGGCCGGTGAGTGTATTTTATTGCATGTTGCATATCCCAGTAAATCTGTTTCACCTTTAAATCTGCAGCTCTCCCTTCTTCTCTCTGTGCTGTTTAAAAAGATTTATCAACCTCTTTACTAAAATAATGATGCCAGAAACTAAATTTCAAGATATGTAGAAGCTCTGCAGTCTGATTCTATCTGTTCAATAAGAAAACATGTTCATTTTAACCTGTAACTGGGAGTCATGGTCCTCTGAGAAGCCAAGCTTATGAAGAACAAACAATGTTTTCTGAAGCTTCTTGCATAATATTACTAACTTGTACAAACTTACAATCTGTAGCTATTTTTAGCTGAGAAAGCTCCGTTTGTCTAACGAACAGATTTTTTGGTGGCATCTCTATTTTTTTAACAAAGCCGTCTCCTAACTTTTACTTAAACATTGAAGTAGCTGCTGGTTAATATTCACTGAGTGCTGCAAATCAGATGTCTCAAAGCGACAAATTTGATGATGTTAGCCTGAGATGCGGGACACGGGAGCAGCAGGAGAGAAGGAAAAAACACACAGATAGCTGCACCCAACTCTGTTATCTTTGGCTAAAGTAGATCAGTAGAAAGGGGAAAAAAAGAGGAAATTATTGGTGGGAACATGTCCACACCAGTCCTTCGGAAAGTTACGCCTCTGCCCGCTGCCATTTATCCTGTTTGCCTTCCTACCATCAGCGCCAGTTTATTCAAGCTGCCTCGGTGTGTGTAACTCCAGTGTTAAAGTGTTTTGTCTTGTTGATTCTGATCTGTTTTTTTGCAGATGGATTTGGGGTTTATCCTTTTTTTTTTCCTGTCTGTTCTGCTCAGTGTGATTTTTGGTCTGAATTTGTGGATTCTGCTGGTTACTGGACTTGGACTGTGTTACTGACCTCGGCTTGGATTCTCCTCTGAAACCTCTTCTGCTGTCTGATCACCTGGTCTGAAACTGTTTTGGATTGTATTTTGGCTTTGGATAATCCCTAACAGACACTGCCGCTTGCTGGCACCAGCTCCTCTGCACCCTGTGCTCTGAACCTAAACTGCAAGCAGCAGATTAGTTTTAAGAAACTTGTTTCAAACCTTCCAGTTTGTCTGCTGAATATTGGGTCCAGGGTTCATCGGTCGTTACAAACCTGGGTAACGTTAAGTTATGGCCTTTGGACTAGATGTTTCGAAAAAGAAGCTCAGTCGCTTCACTTGGATGAGATTAAATTGGCCTTTGATAATAAAGTAAAAAAATCTTGGTGTTATTTTTGATCAGGACCTGTCATTTAAATCCTGTCATTTAATTTCCTTCTTTCATCTGAGGTATATTGTAAAAATGAGAAATCTCCTGTCCAGAGGTGATGCTGAGAAACTAGTCCATGCATTTGTTACTTCAAGGCTGGACTATTGTAATTCTTTACTATCAGGAAGTCCACAAACTGTAGTTAAAAGCCTTCAGCTGATCCAAAATGCTGCAGCCAGAGTTCTGATGAAAATGAAGAAGAGAGATCATATCTCTCCTATCCTGGCTTCTCTTCATTGGCTTCCTGTTAAATCCAGAATAGAATTTAAAATCCTCCTTCTCACATATAAAGCCTTAAATGGCCAAGCTCCATCTGATATCAGAGATCTGATTGTTATCATAAAGCTTATAGTTAGAGTGGCTCAGGTTATCCTGAGCTATCTCTATAGTTATCCTGCTATAAGTTAGACTGCTGGAGGACATAGGTAAGATTTCTTCATCATTCTGCTTCACTCTATCTCTATTCTCCCACTCTGCAGAATCTGTTAGTTCAATCTCTACCTTTATGCCGTCTCTGCTTTTTCCTGTCATATTACCTTCATCCGGTCTGATTCTGTTTGGCTGTGAGATCATCTCAGAGGAGGGCATCAACAAAATCCATTATAGATGATAGAGTTGGGCCTGTTTTTCAGTGTTTAGTCTGGTTTCTCTCTTAGACAAAGGATTTAAACTGGATATTCTCTCTTTTATCTGGTGACATGAAAATTGTCTCAGAGCTAAACTAATTAACAGTTTCTTTCCCAGACAGCGCCTCCTGTGGAGCTAGTTTACCATTACCTTTTCTAACTTACGTAGAAAGTATTTATAGATCAGTTATTCCATGTTCCTTTTCTGTGTCTGCTTCTGTCTCCTTGAACCCCAGTCGGCCTCAGCAGATGGCCGCTCACACTGAGCCTGGTTCTGCTGGAGGTTTCTTCCTGTTAAAAGGGAGTTTTTCCTCTCCACTGTCGCTACATGCATGCTCAGGGTGAGGGAATTCAACCACTGTTTCCGCATCCAGGAGGACCAAATCATGTAAGGTCAATAACTGGACGCAATCAGCTGGTTTTCCCTAGATAAAAAAACTTTGAACCAATCTGACTGGATGATCTGATTTTCTCTGCTAAGGGCCTAAACCTAAAGGTGGGAGCCTGGCATTGGGGGAGGGCAGAAAGAAGGCTGCCAGTAGACCGACTGTAAACAACGGAGCGACTCGGAGATGTTTGCGATAATCACGCTGAAGAACAAAGATGGCTGATATCCACACCAGGCAACAAGGAGACCTGACTGGTTGAAACCAGGAAACATTAAAAGTGTATGTTGGCGTCTTCTACAAACCAGATGAAGAAATGCACAGATAGCTACAACATTAGCCCATAACTCTGTAGGCGCCGTCACGCTGGTTCTGAACAGGTAGTCCAATGCTCCGCTACGCCAAACGGAACAATGAAAAGAAATCAAAGATGATGTTGATGTGGGCTCAGCTTCATATCCGGCGTTCATCCAGGTTCCCCTGGTTCCATCACCACGCTCTGTTCGGGTAACCAAGTTATATCTTCATGCCAAGTTTGGCTTTCTGTGGAGGACACGTTTCAGTGGTTAACATCACTTCCATAACTGAAAGCAGAACAATAATTTAGAGAAAAGTAGGTCAGACTTTCTTTCTTGACCCTTGATAATTGAAAAAGACCCAAAACAAAACACCCCAGAAATTTCACATCTTTGCCGTTTCTCAATCTGTGTACTTGTGCGTTCTCATGTCCCTGTGAAACGGAGAAACAAATCAGACTGTTTTTTTTTTAATGAAAATCTTGAATCTGGACTTATTCTTATTTTGGGGTTAATGCATCTTATAGCTGTTAGAGGCGTAACACCGGGGCTGTTCAGGAAACACCTGGAAGCATAGGGCTGATTGCTGATGAATCAGAAGTTGAAGCAAATCATCAAACCAACAACGTCGTCTCGTTACCTAAAAGTTAAACACAGGATTATTTACAGAATTACACACAGGCTGCCATGACTTCTAAATCCTCTCCCGCTGTTGTGGTATTGAAGTTTTAAAACACACAAATCATCTCGTTATCACGAGAAAACGCGTCGTTGTTTTTAGATAATGAGAATATTAATTGGTTTTCTTGAGAGCACCACAATGAAAAAGTATCGGAGGGAAACGACGGCTCTGGGCTTCCGTAGTATTCCACTCTGGTATCTGCCTGACATACTCTCAAATGGAGAGAGCTGGATTGATTAGAAAAGAGGAGGCACAATCCTTTACCGTCTGATTTTTTTTTGTCTAAGGCTGAGACACATGGCAGATTGACTCCCTGACCAGTTTATCTGGTAAAATGTAATGAGACAGACGGCCAAGATGAAAGAAGGAGTAGAGCGAGAAAGAATAAAAAGAAGAGAGCAGTGGCAGCACAGGGCAGTAAAATAATAATTGAGAAGCAGATAAAACATAAACTCTAGTTGTGAAAACAGAAAACACTAGCATAGCCAAGAAAGTGTTTCTGAAATAAGATAAGAAGCATATGGATTTTTTACAACTGTTTTTTTTTTTTTTTTTAAGTTTAATTTAAGTTTGTTTAGACAACAGTGTTTAGCTGAATTAATAACATAAAAAAATAATTTCCCCTCATCTGCTTTTTAAATGGGAACCATTTCATTCAACATTTATCAACTTTTCATTTTAGGAAGAAAAAGCTTAAAAAATCAACCCAGATAAAGATAGAGCCTTATGTTGTTTTTACTTCAACTAAAAAATGCAAACAGGCCACAAATAACATTTGTCAGGAATACAGTTTGTGTGGTCTGTTTTGGATCTGTCTCTCCCTCCACCACTAGGTGGCGCCCTGTCCTTGTTGGTCCTCCCTGCACACCTGCAGCTCTTTGGATCATTATCTGGAAGAGTACTTAAGCAGTGGACTGTCACTACTTCGACGCCAGAGTGTTTGCCAGTTTTGGGTACTCTAGTCATGCTTAGATTAGCTGAGTCTAAACTGAGTCTTTGTCTCTCTGAGCTTTAACCTTGTTTTTTGTCTTTGTCTCTCGGCAGGAAGTCACCCTGCAAACTGGATGTTGGGCCTTCTCCCCCTGGAAGGATCGTTGAGCTTCACATTGAGCAGGGGATGCAAACTGGATGTTTGGGCCTTCTTCCCCTGAAAGGATTGTTTGAGCTTCACACTGAGCAGGGGATAAATCTCCACATGTACCGTTCAAGTTCTCCTGGAAACCTAATTGACAGTCCGCTCCATTTCTCCTCCGAGTCCAAAGAATATTTACCTGTCCACTCTTCAACGTGTCCCCTCTTCTCTGGATCAACTCACACTTAATGGATTCAAAGTGAGAGAACGAACCTCCCAAACGTGAGTCCCTCACTAGCATTATCTTTACGGCATCCAAGATTCCCACGGTCCCTGAACTAATCATTGTCATATCCTCTCCAGACTTCCTAGTACCTGCTCACCAGTTCTTTTGAGTTCCAGATTACCCCCTTCTACCTTTTCCTCAATAAACCAGTTAAACCTTTGCCTTGCTCTCTGAGTGGTTCTCTGCATCTTTGGGTCAGACCTTTAAACTCACCATGACAACATTTAGCTTCTAACAGACCTGATGTTTGAGGAAGCAGTGGTGAAAGTTTACGATTAGTTGACCTTTGCAGATTCAGTTAAACTGAATAAGTTGAAGGAAACTTACGATGCCAGAAGCATGTTTTGGTTTCACACTGTAGGAAGTTTTCTCCTTGGCTTGTCTGAAACTCTCTTCTGCTGCTTTTAACCTACAAAACACACAATTCAAGGGAAAAACAAGAAAAGTTACAAGCAAAAATAAATAAGAAACAGTCCTACATCTAGAACTTTATTACAGTTTATATCATTGCAGCCATAAACCCTTTATAGACCCCTCAGTGAAATACTTTGAAGATCAACATTTCCAGCCAATAGTGTTTTTGGAATCCAGGACAAAACCCTATTAACTTTGGAACATTCAAAAATATGGATGTTTTCATGGATAAAAATGAATGTCAATGTAATAATAACAAACGCCAACTTGCCCGAATATATTAAGAAAAATAACAAAAGTGCTTCATTCTAAGGCAAGCTATCAAAAAACAGCTATTTGCCCTATAAAGGGTTAATTGTTTAGTGGGATTTAATGTGATAGATCAACTTAAAGAAATTGAACTAAACTATAAAGATGCTCATTTGTCATTTTATTTATTTTTTTCACAAATACATTTGAAAAGTGATCAGTTTATATTACAGCAAAACACTAACAAGAAAACTTCAATTCCATTACCTATAAAAATATCTTGGCCAATAAAATGGTAGAAGTATCATGTTTAGGATTAATAGCACTATTGTGCTAAAAATATTTGGTTCCTTTCTTTTCATCTGTTTTTTCTACGTGCAAATTTAAAATCTAAAAATTACCTTTTTAAGATGAAGGGAAATTTGTTCCATAGTTGTTGTGAAGAAAACGTTTTGTAAAAGGAAATTTGAAAAAATTAAATCCAGAAATTAAGCTTCTTAATCAAAGAAGTAGTAGCAAGTTTGCTGTTTTTTCATATTTTATTTTTCAAATGATTTAGTTGTTCAAATCTCTTTTGAAATGTAATTTTTTTCCAACTGTATTTCTTTCTCCTTTTTTTACAGTTTGTTTTTAAATAAGATTGTCTTTTTCAGATTGTTTTAAGACTTTTAAAAAGTGTGTCCCATTCTGTCATTTAAACACAATTTGAAAAATTTGCACTTAGTAAAACTCAATCTGAAAAGAGACATTTGAAAATTAAAACCATTTTAAAATACAAACTTTGGGGAAGAAAAGCTTTCTGAAAAAGATCTATTTAAAAAAATGAAAAACTGAAACAAATACTTCAAAAAAATCTGAGATAACAATAAATGTACTCTCAAAACCTGTTTTGATTAAGAAGTGTTTCAAACTTTTTCTCCTGGATTGAATTTTTGATTTTCAAAGTATTTCACTGAGTGCCCTATAAAGGGTTTATATTTTGAAAGTAATTCCCTTTTCCTCTTTCATATTGTTTTTCATCTTGCTTTCAATCTTGTTTCTAAATTTTTTTTTATTTTTTTTTTTAACATTTCCTTCACCATTCTGGTCCCTCTGCATTGTCCAGTTTCTCTTTTCCATTTAGCTTGTGTTTGTTATATAGTAGGTTGAATTAATCGGTAAGAATGGTACGTGTCAAGCGAAGCCAAATCCATCTGTAATAATTGGAAAATTTATCTCATAAAACTTTACTCAAAACAACAGCGACATTGTGGCGCAATGAACGGGTGAAGGTTCAGTCTTTATTTGCAAAGACCATCTCAAAAGACTGGCAGCTGTAAATAAAGGAGGGCTGAATTCAAATGCAAGCCACACTTTTTAGATTGTTATTTATGCTTTTTCCAAGCCTTGCATCTTCAGCTTTTTTTATACTCAACAATTTTCCACAACTTGAGGTTAGTTTATCACAAAAAACTTAAGTTTTGGTTTTAACTTCTGGAAAACAGGTTTATGGTCCCGTTTATTAAATAAAACAATGACTATGTCTTTATTTCTGTCAATTATGAGTATTTTCTCCTGAGAGCAAATCAAATTACTGAGCAGAATTTTAACATCAGGCCAATCGAAAACAGTTTATTACAGAAATGTCCTTAAAAAGCAGCTTTATTCTGATACAACCAGCCTAATTCTAATATCCTAATGGATATTCTAATTGACTGACCTTTTATGACGCACTGTCGAGTTTTATATAACTTTTCTATTATCTTATTATAAAAGTGATGACATATTCTTAGGGAAATGTGGAGGGCATCCCACCTTTCTTTGAGGATAGTTTTGTTCTCTTTTTTCCACAGCTCCTTGAAATCTGAAGAGAACTCATGCCAGATGGAAAATAAAACGTTGGGGGAAGCCTCTTTTTCTCCCGCTTTGGGCTTCACCGAGTAGAACGTTGTGAGCTCAAGGAACCTTAAATAACACAAAGATACATTATTCATTTGCAAGCTGAGAGACAGAAACAAAGCTACTGCTCCAACATTTAGGAAATTAGGATTTCATAAAGGAATTATTCATTGTTATGAATGAAGTGATTTGTAAGAAGCCATTCCACTAGGGGGCGATAAAGATAAGGAAGAAAGAGGGCGGGGCTTACAGTTTGTGGGTGCTGCTGAGTTGACCATCCAGCGTCTCCAGTTCACTTTTAGCTAACAGAGAAAGAACAGTTTCAAAGGCAGAAATTCAGTTTCATCTAACTTGGTTGTCAGTTTCACACAGTTTTATTTCTGATAGCAAGGAGTAGCTAGCCTAGGCTAGCGCTAGCTTAGCATCGCTATGGCTTCTCTCTCTCCCTCCCGTGACTCTTTTCCAACTCTTCCTTCTTCCTCTCCTCTCTCCTGCTCTCTCTGTCAGATGTTCAGTTATTCCTCTGCCTCCTTTAGTGATAATGGGATGTGTAATAAGTGTAGTGTTTTTGTAGCTTTGGAAGCGAGGGTGTCAGAGTTAGAATCCAGGCTTCAGGCTGTTGAACATCCAGGAGTTAAAGTAGGCCCCCCACGTAGCTGTCCTCCAAAAGTGCCTGAGCAGCCAGGCGATTGGGTAACTGTGCGCAGAAAGCGTAGTCGTGGATCTCTGCCCACTGGTCACCACCAATCCGTTCACGTTTCTAACCGGTTTTCCCCACTCAGTGACACACCCACTGAGAAGCCCACTCTGGTGATTGGCAGCTCCATAGTCAGAAACGTGGCATTAGAGACACCAGGGACCATAGTCAAATGTTTGCCGGGGGCCAGAACGGGCGACATCAAATCCTACCTGAAACTGCTGGCTAAGGATAAGGTTAAATACAGTAAGATTGTTATTGACGCTGGTGGTAATGACACCCGATTACGCCGATCGGAGGTCACTAAAATTAGTGTTGCTTGTGTGTAAGTTTGCCAAAACAATGTGGGACAATCTCTGGTCCCGTCCCTGATCTGACATGTTTAGCCGCATGTCGTCATTCAACCGCTGGTCGTCTAGGTGGTGTCCTGAAAACAACGTGGGCTACATTAATAATTGGCAATCCTTTTGGGGAAAGCCTGGTCTGATTCAGAGAGACGGCATCCATCCCACTTTGGATGGTGCAGCTCTTCTTTCTAGGAATCTGGCCACATTTATTAGTCCTCCAAAACCCTGACCACCCAGGGTGCAGACCAGGAAGCAGAGTTGTAGTTTAACACACATCTCTGCAGCTTCTCTACTGTTACCCACTCTTTACTCCATCCAGACAGTGTCTTGCCCACGACCAAAATCTAATAAATTAGCAAAGATTCCCAAAGGAGTAAATCATGATAATCTAATTAAAATAAAATAACTCCAATTGGGGAAAAAGTTAAAATGATTAAATGCGGTCTGTTTAACATAAGATCTCTTTCCTCTAAAGGTCTGCTAGTTAATGACTTGATGTGTGATAATCACAATGACTTATGTAGCCTTACAGAAACCTGGCTGCAGCAAGAGGATTATGTGAGCAAAAATGAGGCAACTCCTTCTAGTTATTTAAATTTTCACCCAGAAGTTCTGTCAAAATCATTTCACACACAAAGGGGGGATTAAAAAAATCACCACGCCAGGAGGGGTGAAGGCAATCAGGTCAGCTGGCACACACATGAGGTGAACCTTTTTTTTCCAGGGATTTGGCAACCCTAGGCCCTACCAGGAACAATACTTCATAACATATTAACAGTCTGTGGTGCTAAATGAATTATTTCATCATATATTTGCATTTAAGTGACCAGGAAAGGCTTAAAAAGAGACAATCCTCCCTTCCTTTGTCCTTCTCTGCCTCTTCCTCTGTTATATTTGCTTACAGAATCACAGAAAGCCAAAGCAGTAAAGCATCCAGCTTTTCTCCTCCTGGTAGAGTCAGATCCTAAAGCCATGATAGATTTACAGCTTCGCTCGATTACCTTGAGAAAGAAACTCCTCCATCTTCTCTTTGAAAGGCTGCAAGTGCTCCTCATCTGACACCTTGCACACCTTTTCCACTTCAGATGTGCACGCTGGTTAAAGTGAAAAAGGGAAAACAGGAGGGTTATACAAACTGCCTCTGTCCTAGATGCAATTACATCTGCATGATAGAATAGAATGGAATTGAATAGAATACAATATACTTTATAGTGCACTAGGGGAAATTTGTCACATTTATGGTTTTATTTAACCAAGTACCTTTAGTTTAATACCTCCCTTCATAAAGGCTAAGCTTAATGGAGAGCAGTGTTGTTGACAAAAGGAGAAAGCAAACCCTGAACTTTATAAGTACAGACACACAACTGGCCATTCAATGCATGCATGAATATATTTATAATAAGATTTTTCACCAGTGAAAGATTAATAACTTTACACCCAGAAATTTGCAGATAAAAGGTATAGTGGAGAATTTAATTTCTCTGGGTGGATCATTGAAATAAGTGGTCCTCCTAGTTGTCAATCATTCTGGTGATATGTTTACGTAAGGCCGTCCCTATTTTCACTTACCTGTGGTGAGTCTGACATAGAGGAAAAATTAAAAATCTTCTTTTGGAAAGTAAGGTTGTATGAGCGATGCAAATAGCAACTTTTAAACAGAGCGTGCACGAGGAACAATGCTGCAGAGAAATACTTTCACATGCGTTTAACAGGCGTTCCCTCTTGGGAGCGTGTACCGAGTTGTGCATCTGCATTTTTTTTTTTTTTTTTTTTAAGTAGAGAGGGCGGGTCTATTAAAAAATTTGCGAAAATTCTCCAATATACCTTTAATATGCATGAGATCCTAAATCCTGGCCAAATAAATACATAAAGGTAGCAATCACCAATTACTACCTTTAAAACTAACTAAACTAAACTAAAAAACTAGCCCCAGCAGCCAAAATAATTTTTCCCTGCGAGTGGTCTAGCCTCGATCAATGTCCCAGGCCCTAGAACTGTCGGGCCAATCACAACGCAGAGATGTGTTTTGAATGTGTGGATGCAAAGCAGGCGGGGCTTTGAAGGTGTGATGACAAAGCTGCGCGACGCTGGAGAAAACACAACAGTAGGATGATGCACTGCAGCAGCAGCAGCTTTCAATGGAGCGCTCCATTGAAAGTTAAAGATTCTCTTTTCTGTTGCTGTTGTTCAATAAAAGTATGTTTTAAGATCATTTGAGGCGAGAATATTATACTTTAAAGCGTCACTATATGGTCCATTTACCCATTTAATGCGTGATTTAAAAAACTATTTCCGAAGTTGATAGGACTGCAGCAAACAGGCGGACCTCCGAGGCTAACGGCAGCCAGGGCTAACCGCAGCCCGTCTGCAGTGGCCCTCTCTCAGCGTAGCCATGTGTGAAGGGCCGCTGGCTCTGATGGAGATTTTTGACTAAGCTTTGGAATCAGTTTTGGAAGGATTAGATTTGGGGTTTTCATTGAAATGTGAGCAGGAAGAGGCTCTACGCTCATTCATTTTTAAGAAGGATGTATTCGCCGTTTTACCAACAGGCTGTTTGTTTACACTCCCCCCCCAGCTTTCTGTCGCGCTTCCTACGTCACAGTCAGTTGCACTCATTGGTCAGAGCGTTGGCCAATAGGCACAGAAATGGTTTGAAAAACAACGGGTTGTTTTCATCAACAATCTGCCAATGTCTCATTCATCGGGGCCAGACTAAATAATACCTTTCATCTCTCATTAAGTCTGGTTTACCAGGCTAAGGGTAACCCACAGGCAAAAAGCCTTAATACTATCAGTATTAATAAAGATGTATACTTAAGCTCGGTTTACATAATTCCGTAAATTTGGGCTTCCGTATAGGCAACCCTGTGGACACAATTTCTGCACTGCACACCTAGGAGAATTTGTTAATACGCAGATAGATCCATGAGGAAACCATTGCAAAATACATCTACAGATATTGTGTGATTTTTCATGCGATTTAAAGCCACAACTATCAAAAGATTGTGGAAAAACTACCAGAAAGAACTGACCGTCACTCTTGAACGACACAAAGAGGCTTTAGTAAATTGTAAATGGCTGTGTTTTCTACTTCCTCATGGAGAGTGGTGCTGTCAGCATGCAGCTTGTGCTAACTGGCTGAAAAACCCGTTGAAACCCAGGAACAATGGGCTTTCAGTAGCAGTGGGAACAGCTCATTGGCGCATGTCTACCCAGATCAAACAAATCAGCAAGCGACCCGCGTTAAAATCAACTCGGCCCTGATCGGCATGCTGTGGGGGCATCAGAGCCGGGTCGAACTGCTAATTTACGTGATACAATTGAACGCAACATACAGATGTCAACACACCGCGCCGGTCGCTTCTGATCTAACAAACAGAAACAACTCTGTTTACATTCGATAAACATGGAGCAGCTCTTGTGAGAGGGATTCAGACAGATTATAGAGATCCATTGTTTATTTCCCTGATTTCCGTCACACTCGTGACATCATGAATGGTTAAGGCTGGTTCAAACCAGGTCATCTGCATGTGTGTCTCAGTAAAGGATAATGTGCTCCCACCCCCTCCGTAGACACTCTGTTGCACCTCATTGTAGGTGAGCGCAGACAGTGCTGCAGACAGGAGGCCTCTGAACTGAACTGAGTTGCTGCAGATGTTGATGCGGGCGGCTCATTTTCCACACGGATTGCACGTGCGTCAATCATAATGAGCCCTTAAAACATCCATCAACTTAGCATCTAAATGCATCTTTAGCTCCTCTAAAAACCAAAACCAACATTCATAGTTTATTCCCAGAGTTATTTCATAATTTTCTCTTTTAGAATAAAACTTTATTTTGCATTCGTTCATCCTGGACTTTGGACTTTTCGTCATTATTTCCAGAATTTCACTCAGAAGTGCTAACGAGCTTAGCTGCAGTAGGCTATCGTTTAACCTCCTTTGCTCATGCTTTCTATCAAATGTCTCTTTTGCTAACAAAATTACCAAAAACAAAGTTTAAAACACAAAAATAACAAATAATACATGAGTTAACTACTGGGGTATACATTTTTAAAAATGCCATAAAATGGTATAACCAGAGCGTGGCTTCCCCATCCCTAGACTACATGAAAAGAAAATAGGAGGAAGAATTAGATCTGGATATATCGGATTAAGAATAGAGGTGAGCAATAGAACTAATACATGCTTCATCTCTATTAGACACAGTTTAAGGTGGTACTCAGACTCCATTTCACCAGTACAAACTGGCAAACATTTATCAGGGAGCTGATCAGAATTGCCCAAGATGTAAACAGGTGCCAGCAAACACCTCTCATATGTTGTGGTCTTGCCCCAGCCCCAAAGAATTCAAAACCTTTTCATCCATTTATTTAAAAAAAACATTGAACCTGTTCCTCTGATGGCTATTTTTGGTGTGGCACCAAAACAAACACAATTAACGAAGCTCTGGCTCTGGAAAGCAATGGCCTTGTCTTTATGCTTGGCCAGGAGACTGATCTTATTTAATTGGATAAAGGCAGCACGCTAACCCACAAACGATGGTTAGAGGAGGTGATGGCACATCTTAAATTGGAGCATCTTAGGTTTACTTTACAGGGCAATACTAAGAGATATTTCTAGGTCTGGCAGCCTTTTAATTCCTATTTTGAATCTGAATTACCCTCTGCTGAAGCTGATGGTAGTAGTAGGATCTGTCTTGTTGCTAGTTTGTGTGTTTTCTTTTCTTTTGAGATGTAAACCTGTTCCTGCTTACTAGAGTAGACATTTTACTAGTAAATATTTTTACTCTCACTTGCATTATTTTTTGGATGACTACACTGACTTTGGTTAGGTTTTTGGGTACTTTACCCTCTAATCCACATGTATTAACCTTGTAATACCTTAATTTTTCTCCATGACCTGCTATAGTGTCCGTTACCTCTAAGGTCCTTCCGGAGCCTCATCAAGTCCTTCTGAAAATCTTCAAACTTCATCTGTGAAGCCTGAAACAGGTCATGGGGCTCAGGAAGTGGAAACACGGATGTTTCCTTCCCAGCATCCTGTCGATAGACACATACATGTTAAAAAGCCTGGAAGGTCAGATGTCAAACACTGATTGTTTAATCATCATAATTAGACAGTTTCATGGGGACATTCACACAGAAGGGAAGGAAGGAAGGAAGGAAGGAAGGAAGGAAGGAAGGAAGGAAGGAAGGAAGGAAGGAAGGAAGGAAGGAAGGAAGGAAGGAAGGAAGGAAGGAAGGAAGGAAGGAAGGAAAAACTGGGGATCCTGAGTCCTGTTTTCAGCAAGTGGTACTTTAGTTGCATCAGGGTGAGACCAAAATTTAAACAGGAATGTTTGTATTAAACAATCAGTGTGTGTGTGAATGGGTGAATGAATGTAGTGTAAAGCGCTTTGCTCAAGTCTCCTGACTTGAGCAAAGCGCTATATAAGTTCATGCTTTTTACCATTTACTATTTAAACAAAGTTAAGTTGTTGTCTTGTTTCTTATTGTATCAGGAGATCATCACAGCAGGAAGTTCTGATTTAATACCACAGCTTGGATAGATTTTTTTGACATGGATGCTTGGAGGCTTTATCTTTGGTTGATGGAAACTGAATCTGTTGAGTTTCACAATATTGAGTTTTTACAATTTTATTATTTAGTTACGTTTAGTTAAATTCTAATAAGTCTTTTATGCCTTTGAGTATGGGGGGGGATTTTTTTTTTTACAATTTTATTGGTCAAGAGCGAGTGTTTAGATTGGCTTAGAGTAGAGAGAATGAGAGCTTTAAAATGCAATCTGAAAAAATAATGCAATTCCTACAAATCAATCTGAAAAAGAGAAATTTGACAAAAATATAATAATAAAATGGAAAAAAATTAGAAAATTATTATCTAAGAAAACAGCACTAAACATCCTTCTGATTAAGAAATTTTCCAATCTTTAATTTCTGGATTGGATTTTTTGAAGTTTTTATTAACAACACGTATTCTTTGGTTGCTAAATTAATTCCATAAAACTTGTGTTCTGTTTCATCCCTTCCTGACTGCCAGTGGCAGTAAACAAAGTGAATATTTCTCCTCGCGCAGGTCGTGATGAAATGTTAACAAAGTCAACATGACACGTTGACGGCTACCTTCGGTCTCTTTGATCTTCTCGCTGTTAACTTGGCGTCCTTGGCAGGGTGGTTGTGCCTATAATCCGTGATTCTGAACTTATTGGCATTTGCAGGTCTGAGAGGTTAGCACACGTTTGGTGTTTACAGCGTCATCCTGCCTGTGATCTGTTAGTAGGAGTGTTATTTGTAGCCCTCCAAGGCTGTAGTTAACGTAACCGATTGTTGTGCCGGTTTGTTGTAGTAGAGCAGACGGTTAGCATCCGCCTCTGGCTTTCATTGTTTGTTAGCTGCTAACGCTTCCTTCCCCCAGTGAAACCTGGTTGGGAAAGGTGTACAGCCACCGACTACAGGTGTATAGCGTTATTACAGCGTTCTTCAGCCCTCGTTGAGGTGTCACTCTGATTGGTCAGTCGCTGCAAACATGGGCATGTGCTCACATTATGTTAACTTAGGCCTTTGATCTCGTTCTTCAGTTTTATTGAAGTCCACACTTATGTGCATGCTGCCACCCCTCATTTCCCATGTCTGTGTGGGATGCTGGCGTGCACATCCTGCAAATTCTCCCTCCAGGTGGAGGATGGACATGACCTTTGCCCCAAATGCGGGGGTGGGTCATCTCAGAGAAGCTCTGACTGACCCATGCATGAACTGCAGCATCATGCAATTGTCTGTCAGGGAGGACAGGCTTTACCAGCTGGAGAATCTGCTTCCACAGCTGACCTGACACCCTCAGGTGCGCCGTGTTCTGGGAGGCGAGGGGATGCACCAGCTGAAGAGCCCCATAGTCCACGGAGTAAAAAGGCCTCAGCTGGACCGCCCATCTCAGCAGGAAGAGGGCTGAGGTGGAGCAGTTCAAAGCTTTACTCAAGGTGTCGGTCCCCACTTCGGTTCCCTAGGCAGCATCCTGGGAAATGGGGAAGGATCTGGAGGAGGATGGAATTTCCATGAAGGCCTCCAATTCAGAGTTCCAGTCCCTCAGGCAGCAAGGGGAATCCTTCCCAGATGCTTGGGGTCGGGAGTGGGACCCCAGGGTTTGGAGGGTCAGGATGGTTCAGGAAATTCCCTCAGAAGTCCAGTTTGCTCTGACCCAGGTGAGGACTAGGGGTGTAATTCACACCCATCATGGCGAATCGATTCAGTATCAATTTCCTGACCCAACGATTCGATTATTTTTGGTACTCAAGAATACACCACGATATGATACAATTCTATTAGATTAATTGGTAAATTTTTTATTTTTTATTTTTTTAGCCTGTCAATCAGCTTTCAATTAAATCAGTTGTGCTGGAGCAGGAAACCTCTATAACCTGCAGAAAGGCGGCCCTCCAGGACCGACTTTGGGGATGCCTGAGGTAGATCACATCAGAGAGTCAGGCCATACAGTGTAAGAACATAGATCTTGTGCAGTGAACTTTTGAACCCTGCGGTTTAATCATACAGTTTGAGCTGTGATGAGTGCAACAATTGAAAATATAGCACAGTGCAGCCCAGCCTCACTCTACCTGCTCCTGCCATTCAGACTTATTGGAAATACAGCAGCTTGTGGCTACAGGACTGCAGGTTCTACCTGCTGTAGATCTTTTCTGCAGATTCAAGCCAATTGTTTCCCCCACCAAAATCAGTGGGCTACTCTGGTTTAGTTCTGCCTTTACCTGAACCGTTGGACTCAGTACAGCTCATCTCCAGGACATGCCTGCCCCTTGTCTGCAAATTTCTTACCCTTGTCAATAAAACCTTAAAACTTCCTACTGTGTTGGCTTGAATTAGCAGGTTCTCTATGCTAATAATAACTAAAGGTATTTCCTTTTCTGGAAGAACCTGTTGAATTCAGAGCATGAATACTCTGAAGATATCTTGATCAGGAGCTTTTTTTTCCTTTTCCAAAGAAATTTCTCTTTTTAAAATCAGCTTTAATGAAAACATCAGAGTTGAATAAGTTCAGCACTAAACATGATTCATATGAAACATTTTCATGTTCAACTGAAAACATTAATTTATAGAGACATGTTGGCAGAACATTGAGATGAACAGAGACAGAAAGGAAGTTTACCTCATCGAAGTGTCTGAGGTAGTACGCTACAATGTATGACAGAAGGCTTTTTGCACCATCCTATGCATGAAAAAACAAGAAAAATACTGAATAATAGAAGAGAAGAGTGAAGAAAACATTAAAAGGAGATAAACATTATGTATTTGGGGCTGCATTCATTTTTAAATGCAGGCTGAATCAGAACCGTTGCATGTTGCTGAATCTGAACTAACGTTTAATACTTTTTTCTTTTCCTTTTTCCAGCTGTTATTGTCATTTCACTGTCACAAGAACAGAGCAATGAAATTCACTCTCAGCATTTAACGTATCATCCTTAGGGAGCAGTGGGCTGCCATTGTGCGGCGCCCGGGGAGCAGAGTGGGGTTAAGGGTCTTGCTCAGGGACCCAGAGGGCAGTCTGTGGGAGTGGGGCTCCAACTCCGAAACTCAGAATTCCCTTTTTGGCCATTTTTGATCTTAATATTTTTCAAAATTCCACTCCTGAATAGCATTTTTTTTGTTGCTGTTTTTATTTACAAAATGTGGTTGTTGTTTTTTTTTAACAATAAAGTAACATAATTAATTTCTTAATATGCGGTGCCAATATATGTGATATGAAAATTAAAGAAGAAAACAAGACAAAAAAGAACACTCAAATATGTCATCTTCTGCCCTTTTATATGCAGCTACAGTCATGAATATGAAACTAATGGGATCATTTTGGAAGTTTCAGAGGAGTTTCATTTTAGCACAGACTTTTATTTTCCTCAAAATGAGTCAGCATTTATGATTACTTGGCTCTTTGCTAGATCGTCTGCTTTGTGTCAACATAAGTTAATCCTTCGAGTTTTCTTCGATTGATATTCAGTTAAAAAGAATTTAAATGTGCCAAGAACAAAAAAACCAAAAAAATTTTCCTTTAAAATTAGGAGCAGTTGATTAACTGGAAAGAAAACCCAAATGTTTATGGCCTTTTTGCACAAAATACACAAAAATTAAAATAGACTGGCATATATGGGATTTTAAATTAGAAGAAATTACAATGTTAACAACTTAAAATAAATCTTTACTCACATTGCTCTTTACATCCTTGAGTTTTGGCAAGATGTCAAGAGTGAAGCCGTCAGCTTGACCTCTTGTTCGATTTCCACCGTTCATGAAATTACCAAATGCCAGAACTAGACCTAGAATCTTCTTGACTGAATCATTGTCCTGCAGAGTCTGTCAAAAAAGACAAGAGAAGGATGGAGTGAAGCAAAAAACGACCTGTAAGTCAATGCACTTTTTTCATATATTGATATAAAAAAAATCAGCGATTAGTTGAACCAACCGTTAACTCAATCCACAACAAATTGACAGTTAAAGCACATTCAAAGAAGCAATAAAATTGTTCTTGTTCAGAAAACATGCTAATTGAAACGGATGAATGGGTCCACCCCTTTGGAATGGGGGTCGTTTGGCTTCTTTGTTAGCCTGCAATGCCCCATACCTGTCTATGTCTCTGAAAGGGGGGTCGTTAGAGGGAATTGTTGGCCTGGCTGAATAGGTGAGGTCTTCTGTTGCCCTGTAAAGGCGTTGGGGTTGAGGTGATAGCAGGAATAATTTTTGTGCATGTTGAGAAATAACAAAAAAATATACATTTGACCTACAGTAGTAGTGATCAGGAGTCCCTTTCCCACTGAAATTAGTGGGTAATACTCGACAAGCGACCCAACTTAAAATTGGTGCTGTGGGAACAGCAGAGCTGGGTTGACCCGCTCATTTACATGATACTATTGAATGCAACGTAAAAAGACCGCAGCACACCGTGCCAGTCACGTCTGAGAAAACAAGCCAAAACAACTCTGTTTATATTCGATTAACATGGAGCAGCTCTGGTAAGATGGATTCAGAGGAGCCAAAACAATAAATCACTGTGACGTTAGGAAGCTGAGACATTTCTTGCAAGAAAAAAGGTTCAAATTCATTTAAGGTCCTCAGACGGAGAGATAGAGCTCTGACTGAGGCATTTCAGTACATACATTTATACCTTACAAAAATCCCAACACACACTCCCCCCAGGGGAACCAACCCACCCCCTGTTAGAAATCCAGTTTGTGTGGGTTGTGTTATTGTTTGTTTTCCCTCCACCACCAGGTGGCGCCTAGTTCTCGTTGGCCTTCTCACACACCTGCGGATGGTTGCCTCATTATCTGAGGACTCTTAAGCTGCTGACTGCCACTACCTCGACGCCAGAGTGTTTGCCAGTTTTGGGTACTCTAGCCAAGCTGAGTTTTGCTGAGTCAAACTGAGTTTTTTGTCCCCGGAGTCTTAAAGGAATAGTACACCCAAAACATGATTAGCCTTCATTTTCTACTCACCATCCAGAATTTACTCGAAACGAAGTCATTTAGAATGTTTTTAGAGCATAAACAGTAGTGTATAGGATTTCCTGAAAGCGCGCACATGCGGGCTCACGACGCTACGGAAGCCGGCAGACCATGACTTCGTTTCGAGTAAATTCTGGAAGCTACCCACTCAGGACACTTGGAATACATTGGACGAGCAGTATGGAGGAATATTGACACGTTTTTTGTGGACTTTTATGGACCTTTCTGTCTCGGTCACCATAGACCTCCATTATTTGAATGTCGGCAGACAGCAAGAAGCCTCCCAGATCTCCAGATGCATTTGAGATATCAAAAAAGTACTCCAGAGTGTTGTTCAGCATGGGGGTGAGTAGAAAATGAAGGCTAATCATGTTTTGGGTGTACTATTCCTTTAACCTTGTTGTTTTTTTGTCTTTGCCTCTCGGCAGGAAGTCATCCTGCAAACTGGATTTTTTTTGGACCTTCTCCCCCTGGAAGTATTGTCTGAGCATCAAGCTGAGCTGAGGATTCAAACAGGTGATTTGGATAAACTTTCCCCCAAAGATTGTTTGGGCTTCACACTGAGCAGGGGATTAATCTCCACAAGAAACCATTCAAGTACCATAGAATAAGTGGCAGTCAGCTCCTCCGTTCCTCAAGGAAACACCTCAACCTGGGTAAACCCTGTCCGCCCTCCAACAAGCAAGTCTATTACTGGAAAAACCCACACCGACTGGATTCAAAGAAAGACACCTTATCTGGAAACGTGAGTCCTGTTGCCTTTATTCCCTTTAACAATCAAAACACAAATTTCTCTCTGAGCCTGAACTAACCGCAGGATTTTCCCCTTCACTTTTCAGTCCCAGTTCGCCATTTAGATTATGTTTTATAGTCTCCATTCTTCAGTTAATGATGAATCACTTACTAAATTAGTTGACGATTATTGAAATAATCAATTAATATAATTAATTTTTTCAGCCCCAGGTAAAATACATGAAATGGGCTATACAGAGTAACTACAGCCCAGATGTTCAACTTTTATAGTGAAGTTAATATTTTAATGAATGTATTATTTTGCTTGATATAAAGAGAGCATAGTAGGTAAAAATATAAGAGTGGGGTTTACCTATGCATAATTCTATATCTTCAAAAGAAAATACTGTATTTACCTTCTCTCTTAGTCATTCAAATGAAACCATTTTCAAAGTGGAAAACAGTCCTAATTCCACATTCATCAGAGCCGCTGACACTTCAAACATTGATAAACAGCATCTAATGAGTGTAGTGCTTATAACATTTTTATTAATGTAGCAAAATTATGCTTTTCTCTTTTAACAATGAATTGCTCTTATCAGTACGGATGCTCACATCGAGCATAAAAAAAGGCATGCGTATTGCATAGCACCAATGACACCTGACCAATTGTGTCCCTACCAAAGTTCAAATCAAACCTACGCCCTTGATGTTATCTCATTAATAGGCCAAGGAAAGGTTTGGTTCCACAGCACACTACTTTGCTCTGGCATCCTTGCCAGGTTTTGTTGCCAAAGGGAAGGAAGTGAAATGCCAATGCGGGTCGACCCGTGTTTGAAAAACCATGGTTAACCCGATAATTTCAGTGGGAAAGAGACTTAAGACTATAGGGACTTAGCTTTCAATGTCAGGTGATGATACAGACTCCCGATCACTAGTAGGACGCATGTAAATTTTTTTTGTTAATTCTCAACATGTGCATGTGCAAAAATTATTATTTAGTGCCTAATCACCCCTGGATAATTTTTACTCAAAGTTTTTAAATAACAGTGCCCAGACATGTCGTTCTCATATTAATTAATTTACTTACCTTGCAGACCCTTTGTAGGGTGCTGATTTTTCTTGTGATTGATGACATGCACTCAGAAAAGCTGGACTGAAAGAGAATGCAGAAGACTCTGCTTGAGAAGTTTGGGATCAGCGATAGCTGGTAGAGAAACCTGAAACAAACAAAATATGCATTTGAAAACGTTTTTGGCTTGTTTTTAAAGCACGTTACAGTTTTTCATCTTTGACAACATACCGTGTTTAAAAAAATAAAGACAAAACGACAGATATGGTTCCAAACAAACAAAAAAATCCTCAAGAAGATCCGTCAATAATGTAAGATATAATATAATAGCTTATGGTAGCATGTCAAAGTAAAGATGCAGCACTGCTTCCTTACGCGCAGTACAAACAGTGGAGTAAAAACATATCTATGGCTGGTATTTAATGTTTTAGGGGAATTACTCACTGTTCAGGTTTATCCAGTGGCTTAGCATTCTCTTTGTCTTTAGACGACTTTATGTGCTTTTCAATTTTATCCAGTTCCTCTTGCTGTGCCCTCTGTGGGAAAATTAAAAGGCAAATATCCTATTCAAAATATGTAATAGCTAATGATTGTAAAAGCAATAAAAAAACAAACAAACTTCATAATCATTGTTCTGGTTCATACAACTAAAGGATTCATCTAACATTTTTTCCTGTTAAAACCTCTGGACTAACCTTAGCTCACCTTGCTGTTACTATTGCACCGATACCAGTATCAGGCGGGGCCCTGATCCAGCAATAAAATGGTGGTATCAGAATCAGCAAGTACCAACAAATAGGGCACTGATACCATTTTGAGAGCCAAAAGTTTATTCAACTATTGTCACCCATTCCAGGTAGGCAATAAAAAGTTCTACTGGATTCACTTTGTTTTAGTCTTTTTCCTGCTTCACAAAGGTAGACAGCAGCTTGACAAAGCCATGATGGCAATTATTTTACATCCAAGTAGTATGCAGTTGTACACACACACATCAATTTCAAACAGACGGTAACAGTATGAGACAATACTGCACAGCCAGGTATCGGGTATCTGGGCCAAAAAATGGCATCAGCGCAACACTACATTCTATCAACTCTACTGTCTCTGATTTACCTAAAGCAGCGATTTCACCAGTCAGGGAGTCACTGGTAGGCAAATGGTAACTATTGCTGCTGCTGTAACTTTTTATCTATTGTGTAAGGAAATGATAGTAAATAAATCATGGCAAACTGTTAATGTTGATAATGCCACACCCAAAGGAATGTACATACAAACAAGTCAAATTATTGTGCTTACTCATACAAAAAAACAAAGTGGATATAAAATGGGATTAAAATTAGCTCTATTCCTTTCTTTCATCTAAATTGATTAAACATGATATGATCAATTTCATATGGATTAAATGCATAACATACCAGGTTATGACTCATTTAATGCAAGAAAATAGAACATATAAACTAACCCTAACCCTAGAAAACAAGCCATTCAATTCAGTTTATTTCTATCATCCAGTCAGATTAATTCTAAGTTTTCTATCTAAAGAAAACCTATTGATTGAATCGATTCATTGACTTGAAAACAATCCCTCACACTAAGCATGCTTGTAGCGACAGTGGAGAGGAAAAACTCCCTTTCAACAGGAAGAAACGTCCAGCAGAACCAGGCTCAGTGTGAGCGGCCATCTGCTGAGGCTGACTGGGGTTCAAGGAGACAGAAGCTCTATTCAATTCAATTTAGTTCATCCATCCATTTTCTATCACACTTATCCCTGCTGGGGTGGCGAGGGTTGCTGGTGCCTATCTCCAGCTGTCTACAGGCAAGAGGCAGGGTCCACCCTGGACAGGTCGCCAGCCCATCGCAGAGACAAACAACCATTAACACACACTCACACCTAAGGAGAATTTAGAGCAGCCTAACAGTCATGTCTTTGGACTGTGGGAGGAAGCAGGAGTACCCAGAGAGGTTGGGAATCAAACCCGCAACCTTCACTCTGCAAAGCAGCAGTGCTACCCACAGTGTCAATTAAATTAAAAAATTTTATTCAAAAGGACACGACAATGAAAGCCGGAGACAGGGCTTGAACCGTCAGCCCTTTGACTTGTTTTCTGTTTCTTCTGAAATTTACAATTGAGAACACATAGTATTATTCAGGGTGGTATATATCTGTAGCTGCAGCTTAGTATTTAGAATCAGTGTGTATTCCTTAACGCCTTGAACCAAACTCCCGTGATACGTATGCACGGGCATGCTTGTGTTTACAAAGCTTCTTCAGAAGGAAGCTATGCCTAATAGCAGGTGTGGGCGGCCCAAGACTCGCCCTACAGTACAGGACCTAAGATAGAAAATGAAGCAATGCAACCCCCAGTTATACAGAAGCACCCCAGATCACTGAGACACAAGGAGGGCAGACATATGGATGGCCGCACCGGAGCGACCAGAGCCGGACCTACAAGGGGACAAACCCCAAAGGGGAATTAGCCTGTCCAGAGGGAGAGGCCTTAAGAGACACCATATCAACATTGACCAGCAAGCTTCAAGACCCGCCCCTGATCCATAGATGCGCTTAGAGGCTGAGCCTCATTGGAAGTGACATATTTTGGCATGTTATCCAATCAGAATTCTACTTTCTCTCTGCACACCTCAGTAGAGTAAGGCTCAAACTCAACAGGGATTTCTCATAGAGGCAGAGTCCTGCTGCTCCAGAGCGGAGGGCAGATCAAGCAAACTAAACAGCTGATTAATGGTGTAACATATTCATGAAATCAAGTGCATTTTAATTTAACTTTCATGACTACTTTTTTGAGGTTTCACAATGCATATTTTACCAAAACATTTTGTGAAATTTACAGGGGAGGTTTAGCCTTGCAGGTATTCAATGAGAAATCGCCACAGATATGCAACTTCAAGCAAACTATGGAAAAACAACTTTTTGTTGAACTCATTAAGGATATGAAATTAGTGATTTTCTTCCCTTAAAGTGATACTTGCCAATGCCTAAATAATACACTAGATATAGACTATTACATCTACTGGACGTGGCTTTACAACTCAAAATACATATAAGGATTATGAAATGTGTTTGTTAACTAAACTGGTAACTTTGAAAATATATTCGAACCTTAGGATTTAAAATACTGGCTTCTTTTCCCTGACAGAGAGAAATAATCCTTTTATGGAACATTTAAAACTAGTATCTTTAAAAGAGTGGAACCTAAACCTTCTCATCTTATTTGTCAACAGTGTGCAGTGAGGTTGCTTGAGGACCCGGATGCAGAGACGAGTGATGACAGATTTAATTGAAGAACACAGGAGACAGAGGCAGCAATCCAGAAATCCAACTTAAAATGTTAAACAAACCAAAAACCATGGAGACATCAGGGGAAAACAAGCATGAGGAGCCAGGGAGAGACGAGCTGAGAAGACAACTTCAACAACGACAAGGAACCAGCACTGAGTGACTGCTGAGGTGGAGTATTTAAGGAGAACAGAACAAAGGATGGACTAATGAGCTGAATAAGGAGCAGGTGTGGGTGGAACTGGCAAGAAGGAATCAGGGGGAAATAAAACAAGCACAAGGGGGCAACAGAGAGTAACTAAAGACTGATTGAATATGATGGAAAATAAATCAAAGAACAAAACAGAACTACTGATAACAGAAAACTGAAAACTCAGAGTCACAACATATGGGATGAACCATAACAGTATTAGATTTGCTTCGATCCACGCCTGCTCCTTGTCAGCTGATTAGTAGTCCTTGTTCAGTTTCCTTCCTGGTTTTTGGTTTCCTGTATTCATTCTTGGATTTTCTTCTGTGGTCTTTTTTGCATTTTCATTAAATCAGCAAAAACTTATCTTTGCCTCCTTCTACTCTGGGTCCAAAACTAACTTCCACCAAACCTGACATGGAGCACTGATGAGAAACCTCGGCCTTGTCAAACGTGTGCTTGACTGACTCTGATTCTAAGAGCTGAACTTGTCAACTGTGTGAAATATTTTCTATGTTACGGTTTTAACCTTTTACATTTAGAATAATCACTCTTTATTTATGAGGTTTGTTGCATTTAGTAGCTGAAGTTAATAATTTATGTCTTTCACTCTATATCAGAGGTCACGGATCAGTGGACCGCGGTCCAGATCTGGACCCACCTGCTGGCTAATCCAGACCCAACCTGATTTAAAACATTTATAATTTACAGCATCTCCAGGCTGCACGTGATCCAAATTAGCCAATGAGCTGCTGTCAGTCTGGGTTGCTTCTGCTGCTACTCTTAGACACAGCAGGCAAACCTGTGGCAAGGCGGGCGATGGGAATGAAGGAGAAGATGATGAGAAAAAGAGAGCAGAGAAAGTGTGGACTGCTGGAAGAACTGTGGTGAACTGGTGAAAGAAAAGTGAAATGGTGCTCAAAGATGACCCTGAACATTTAGAGGATGTTTGGCTCAACCTGCTGCTGTGAAGCAGGATTCTCCACCATGAACAGAATCAGACAGAATCTGCTCTCATTAAGACAGAAAAAATAAAGAAAAAGAAAAAATGTTTAGTTCAAGTTTTATTAAAAAAGTGAGTCAGGAAATTGTCTATATACCAAACCGAGAGATTGTTGTTCTCTACTTCAAAAACAATTTTGATGTTAAAATGGAAAAACATTCTATTTTTTCTATTTTTTATTTTTATTTTATTTCATTGTTTAATGCTGTTTAAAATAACAGATATATATACATGAAATAATCTATTTTTGATAGATTTTTTTGGCTATTTTCAGACATTTACCAACTGACTGGCATTCTTAGGGCTTTCTCTAATTGAAAGTCATGCCCAGGTGTATGAAGACAAGGTTTATATAATATATGATTTTATAGTATCTAAAAGTAGGTATTAGTTGCATGTCCATAGCCTTAAATTGGGCTAGTTATAGCCATGAAATTTCCAATAAAAATCTAAAACCTATAGTACGAAGAAGAACAGTTAAAAATTTCAGCATTTTGCAAAACTGCTACTAAATCAGGTTTTTGCACTAAATGAGACATATGAACAACAGCTAAATGTTACGGGCAAAAAAAGACAAAGATGATATAAAGTAGAAAGAAGATGATGACGGCACGGCATATTCTTTAAACCAATTATCAGAATAAACTTTGATGTTTCTTCCTGTTTAACAGAAACTGTCAGAGACTCACATTTTCATAAAGAGCCTGCAGGGTCTCCATGTCCACTACGTTGTTGTCCAAGTTTAAGATAGCTAAAAAAAAACAGACAGAAAGGTTCAGGTCATTCACAACATCCTGAAGAACCTTTTAACTCAAAATTATTTAGAGAACTTCCCTTATTTTTTGATGAAAATAAATAAATACAACAGTCTTTCTTTCTACTGAACATGGGTTGGAAGTATCATGTTTATAAAATTGGTCAGTAGAAGCGATACAATCAATAAGCAGATATAGTATATATGACGGAAGTTTATCCATCAAGCTAAGAATTGGTTATAAAATAAACTTTCTTGATTAGTTGAGATAAAGATGAGTTTTTCCAGATGGAGAACATTTCCAATTTCTCTCAAAAGCAGTTGGTTTATCATGGAGCCATCAACTTTCTGGCAACTAGCGCAATCCAAGACACAACCTGCTCCTCTTTATGGTCCTTCCCTCAATCTTAAGTTTTCCAGCATTGCTGTAATGGCTCAACATGGGGACTGTCTTCCATTCAACCTGGTCAGGAAATCAAACAAAATATTACAGAGGGAGCGGTGGCCTAGTGGTTAGGGCATAGAGCTTAGAATCCTGAGGTTCTGAGTTTGAAATCCACTCCCACAAACTGCCACTCTGGGTCTCTGAGCTAATCCCTTTAGTGGGGGGAAAAAAAGTATTCAAAAATTTGTTCCAGTTAAATAAATGGAGATCTTTGGATTTCACTCAGTCAGCATTTTATTTTTATCTTTGCAAAGAGAGAACAGTTTATCACACAGCCTTTATTGCTTTGTAATCAGCCCTGTTCTGCATGAGCAGCGTTCGTTCCTCCTTACTTACAATAATGAAAAGTAGTCCGAGTCAAAACAAATTACAAACACTTTGGTTAAACAGTAACTTGTTATGAATAAACCTTGAAAATGAATCTGGTTTGTTATGGAAAGAAAATATATCTAGTCTACAAACACCCTCACTCAGGGGAATTGTGTGGCCTTGCAGGTGAAACAGGCAGTGAAAACTTTTATAGTGAGTAAATAACATAAATTAATATATAAAATAAGAGAAACTACATTTTTCGACCACACCCCACACTGTTCCCCGGGTGCCACACAGTGGCAGCCCACTGCTCCCCAAGGGGATGGGTTAAATGCAGAGGTAAATTTTTGCAATGTGAGATCAATAAAGTTCAATTATTATTATAAAAAAATATTGATTATATGATTGAAACGAAGGAATGACATAGAGCTGCAGGCAGTGAGAAAAGATTATATAGCCAGGAGGTTTCCTACTGAGCCATCCATATTAGTGCTTTAAAGAGAAACTGAATGAATGGTTTTAATGCCAACCTCAGTGCATCAGGAGACATTTAGGTGTAGAAAAGTGCAGGAGGGTTTTTATACTGGCCTTGAATGAACAGAGACAACGAATCAGCGCCGTGAGACAGATCAATGACACAGGCATCAACAGTCAAGAGGACCAGTCATGTTTCACAGCAGACAGGGCAACCAATGGAGCAAAGAGGGAACTGATATTTTGCCCTCTCAGGCAGAGATGATAGTCATTATATATTACTCAAACTACCCAGAAGTTTCTCTACTATTGGACACCGCTGCAAAGCATTTATTACCACGCCCCAAATATTTGGTAGACATGGAATCTTAACTAAAAGTTGTGAGTAATACGATTCACCGTTCAGCAATCAAGAATACTTTCAAAGAAGTAATGATGTGATTATATCACTTAAAGCTCACTGCCTCTATGGTTAAAGGCTTAGAGGCAAAATTAGTGCAGATTGTAAAGCAGGGGGGGGTAATTGTAGTTCCTAAGGGCCGGTATCTTACAACTCTTAGATGGATCTAAATCACTAATTAGATGATTAAGAGGACTCTGGAGAAACTGACCCGCTACTGAGGAGGTAATCCTATTAGGGTGTGTAGGACGGCAGCTGAGACTAAAAGACAGAACATCACCTCTTGATTCCAAAAAAGTTAAAAATAATCCACTGGACTTTTTTTTCAAGTTTGAAGACGTTTCTCTTCCATCCAGGAAGCTTTTTTAATTCAAAATGTCAGAAATAGCGTTGAGTTCCAGGTTTTATACAGCAGCCCAACAAAGAAAGAATGCAAATAGAAATGGACGGTCCAACCCTTTAGAATGGGGTTCGTTTGGTTTCTTTGTTAGCCTGCAATGCCCCATACCTGTCTATGTCTCTGAAAGGGGGTCGTTAAAGGGAATTGTTGGCCGGGCTGAATAGGTGAGGTCTTCAGTTCCCCTGGAAAGTGGTTGGGGCTGCGATGATAGCAGGAAGGAATCAAATTTTTCACTGTATTGTAGGTTTTTTAAGGCTGAAATCTGAGTCCACTATGGCTTCCTTCATGCTCCTCTCACCACATATTTTCTGTCCAAAATGTGACCATTTGGACAAATTACTTTCATCAGAGCAACTTCTTATAAAAAGTCATCTGAGAATGTTACTTCCATCATATTCTACCAAGAATATTTCTTGGAAAAAGAAATGTACAAACAGAAAAGTGCAACAGACAAAAACAAAATATATAAGATCTGCTAAACCTTTGGGCTGACTGATAAAGGAGGTAAGGTGTGATGGAAAAGTTGGATCACTAGAAAAACTCAAAGGAAACAGCATCAGTATCTTATGAGTTACAGACTGAATATGGAAATATAGTGAGAAGAAGCCTCAACAGTTGCTGGACGTTCATTACATTAAGATGCAGAAACCAGAGGGCAATCACAGGTAAAACCTTTGGAGCAAGATTCAAGTGTTGATGATGCAATATTGATTGCATCTAATCTTGCAGCAGGACATACCAGGTGGTTCTGGGTTATTAGGAACCAAACAGGATTAACTTTAACATTAATATCCTACATTCAGTAGCTCCATAACAGCACCCTGATTTATAGCTAGTGAAAACCCATCTCCATGTGGTGACGTCAGAAGGAGAGGACAGCTGGAGGTAGCACAGCATGCTAAAGGGGAGATGGATGGAAATGTTTATGATTGTTCCAGAACATCGGGTCTGGAGTTGGTCTGAACAATCAGGGAGTTCAATCTCAGGTAATGCTGCTGAGGAACAATGAAGCATCACAGCTTACAGATCAGAACCATCCATGGCTAATGCTAACGTGACTCCACCAGATGGATTTGCTCCGCTTATCCATCTGGAAACCTTCCGTTGAAGTAATTTTGGGAAGGGGCGAAAATACTGGTTAGCTGATTGGCCTATGTTGGTGATAGACGGGCCAAATAAACCAATCAGATCAAAGGAGCATATGACGTACAACAGAGCGATGACGAAGAGGAGCCAATTGATAGATCAAACTCTTGCCGAAACCAGTCGGGAGAAGAGCAAAAACATCTTTTCCTCTGAGAAAAGCCTCCAGAGCAGTGTTTTGCTCTTCTTTCAGTGAAGAAATACTCTGTAATTCCGATAAAACTTGCTCGATAGCCACGCTAACGCTAGTTTCATCGGCTGAAGCCGCCATGTTCTTTAGACTGAACTGTCGCGCTTCTCGTTGCGTCACACCTCAACCCGCCTCAAAGCCAACGCTGATTGGACGTTCGTTTGGTGAACGGCTTCAAATTTTCTTTAACGGAGAGTCTCCAGACTGATCTGCGAGTGAAACCTTGAAAGCTTGGAGATCAGGATGGTCTCACGAGGCTAGGCTAATGCTGCATTCACATCAAAAGCTTTTTGGGCGTCAGAAATGCTTAAAACGTTGAAATTTGGATGTTGGATCAAACTGTGGCCCTCTGGTTGTTTATCGGCTCTGTTCTGTACAGTGATAGCCATTTAAAATATCCCCACTTTCCTTGATGGGCCCCTGGCTGGTCCCTGGCTGGTCCCCCACAATTCCTTTTTAAACATCAATCTTTGTACTAAAATATTCTTTCTGTCTTGATTTGTGAACAATATGATCTAAAGAGAAGCGTCATCTCCTGGTCAGACCCTGTAATTCAGTGAAAGGGTGGAGTCAAATAAAAAAAAAAACCTGAAGAAGAATTCCCTTGTTTGAACATGCGTAGACCGCAAGGTTTCTGGTAAATCGGCTCGTAGCTCTGCTTTCAGGATTGAACATGTTTGATTTTCTCCCAACCTTACGATTCCTGATGTGCTTGGAACATCTTGAGATGGATGTGTTTTTTATTTTGTTATCCGCGCAGTAATTCCTTCTTTAGAGCAGTGGCCATACCAGGAGGTGGCCAGGATTGGCCACCGCCACCCTGTGCAATGCCCTGACCACCCCACTGGCCACCCCACTTACCAGTGTAAAATGTAGTAGCATCAGTTTTGCATTTTACCACATTATGCACAGCCAGCGACGTAACATCAAAAAAATCACACAATAAATCAAAATATGAGTAGGTGTTTCCTACAGGCAGGTTTACCACTATAGTAGATTCAAACCCTGAAATTATGGCTTTTAGTTTCAGTAGCCACCCCAAGATTTTTAGTAGCCCCATCTGGCCCCCCATTAAACATTTCTGGAAGCGAAACTGCTTTAGTGGTAAAAAAAAGAATAAATAGGGCAGGTGGCTTTCCTGTTTACCACACCAGTATTAGAAACATTTAGACAGCTGGGTAGTTTTTCAGTTACTGGACTCACCATGCTGGATATCTTTCATGTCGAGGTGCAATGAAGACATAAGGATCCCAACAGCCTGTGAGCGCTTATTGTTCAGGAGCTTCACCACCTATATAAGAAAAATGCAATGTTAGGTACAAGTCCATAATAGATAAATTAGCTTTTTACTGTACTTTAATTAGAAAAACACATGTAGGTTTTTGGATGCAGTGTTATATACAACTTCATAAATAAATTATTCAATTCAATTCAGTTTATTTCTATAGCGCCAATTCACAACACACGTCATCTCAAGGCACTTTACAGTTCAACAGATCATACATTCAAATTGATTCAAAGTTTTCTATCTAAGGAAAACCAGTAGATTGCTTCAACTCATTGACTCAAATACAATCCCTCACACTAAGCATGCTTGTAGCGACAGTGGAGAGGAAAAACTCCCTTTTAACAGGAAGAAACCTCCAGCAGAACCAGGCTCAGTGTGAGCGGCCATCTGCAGAGGCCCACTGGGGTTCAAGGAGACAGAAGCAGAGATACAAAAAGCAGCTGTAAAAGGCAGCCTGGTCCAGGAAACACAAAGCCAGGCAGATGAGCTCTGAGCCAGCTCCCATGTCAGAGGATGAAGATAGCACATCCAGCCAGTCACGGTCAGAGAAACAGGACTACACTGGAAAACAGCCGATCTCCAGCATCTATAAACAAAGGTGTTGATGAAGCAGCACAGCTGATATTTCTCTCCAGGATGGAGTCACAGCCAAATAGGGTGCTTACTTTGAACTGCTGTTTAAAAATAAGTTCTGAGCTAAACTGATACGCAGCTATACTAATCGACAGCGTCCTATAGTTTCTTTGAGGCTAATAAAAAAGGTGAATTAGCTTTAGAATAATAACTTTAGAACTGTTCTGAAAATAAGTAAATTATTCAAATAATATGCCGCAGCTTTTGGAATAGCTCTGTTACTTTCCCTTGATTTTTCTTTTTTTTTTACTCCTTTTCTTAAAGTAGAACTGTGTAACGTTTGGCCACTGCAGGCTCTAGACTCGTAATGTCCAGGTTTAGCCGCCCTGAAGGCAACTGGCGGTACTGCACTGTGCTAAATGAACCAGCCTCCCTCTGTGCTTTGGAATCTGATAGCAGACCACTTTGCACCAGCAGTTTGAAAAGTCATGGACTGAGTTTCCAATAGTCCTTAAAATCCTTGAGTTTATGGCCTTAAAGTTTTTGGACGGCCATAATAAAAACACCATCCTTAAAAGATCTTGAACTTCATATCTCTTTTATTTATATATAGTAAATTACACGAAAAATTTCATATTTTTCTCATATTTTTTTTTTACTGTTTAACCAAAGTGTCTTTAATTTGTTTTGACTCTGACTACTTTCCATTATTGTAAATAACGAGGAACGAATGCTGCCCAAATCAGAACAGGGCTGATTACTGTGCAATAAGGGCCGTATGTTGAACTGTTCTCTCTTTACTTACTACGTTGACATTTCACAGTGAATTACTTTCTATTAACTCTACTTTCTGTTTTCTAATGTTTGACGCAATGTCATTGGCTAACTAGCCAGACAAACAGCCAGACTAATGTTACACTACATACTATACTATAGGATACATCAGTATATATATTGATTTTCTGTTTATTTTTTCTTTATTCTTTTGAAGAGCCAAGTTAGGACAAACATTGCTTCCTTGCCATTGTGTTTGTGTCTGAATTATTTATGTGATTTCCTATTTCAGAAGATGTAAACGTTCAATTTATTACTGCCAACGCTGACGGCACATAACTCTTCAAAGCTTTTAAAGACTTTGTTTTATATACAAGACATAAAAGAGTCTTTGGACACAGACCTGTTTTGCCTTAGATTTGGTGATGGTGTCAGAGAGCGGCTGCTTCTTTTCTTTAACTGCAGTTTTTGAGAAGAGCGCCACAAATTCATCAAAATCTACTTCAGGTTCCTCGACCGTCTCCCACACAAGTGCAGAATGAGCGTCCCTGGAAAACAGGAAGTGAAACACAGTTTCAGGTGACAAACCATTGACTTGAGAGCTAATGAGGAATCATTTTGTCAGTTAAATATCTTATATAAATAAAAAATCCCATGTTTTATTGTCATTAAACTGTCCCAAGTATAGAGCAATGAAATTACCTCTCTGCATTTAACCCATCCCTTGGGGAGCATTGGGCTGCCATTGTGCAGTGCCCAAGGAGCAGTGTGGGGTTAAGGGTCTTTGCTCAGGGATCCAGAGTGGCCGGCTGTGGGAGTGGGATTCGAACTCAGAACCTCTTGATTCAAAGCTCTATGCCCTTACCGCTAGGCCGGCCGCCAATCTCCATAATTCACTGAATAAACATTTTTGTAGATTTAGGTTTGAAGTAATCTTTGTTCGGCTCTGCTGACTGGAATTAATATTAATCTTTTGGTACTGTAAATAACCATATTGTATTTTATTAGGCCAAAAAGGAAGGTGTTCTATTCAATAGGTTTTGTGCTGATTTTTGTCTTACAATGTTTATAACTTCTGGCTTGAGCTAAGTGCTTTTATTTTGTTGAGCATGTCCTTCCTGTTCTGCAGAATGTATTTTCCGTGAGATTGTTTTCCCACAAACACAGCATTTAGTTAAACACCGAGCCACGGTGTCATTTCATATAGTCCTGGCAGCTATAGGGAAGCTATAATCTCTCAATTCTGACTTTAAACTCAGATTTTTACATTTTACTGAAATAAAATGTAAAAATCAGTTAACTTTTTGTTATTTTTTCAGTGGCCCTAATCCTCTTTCGTATGATATATATAAAGGATATTGCAGTTTATTTTATTTTTTATTTTAGTATATAAGTGGTGGCCTATGCATTGCGCTTGGGTCTCGTAGGTTCTGAGTTCAAGTCCCAGACACACAGACTGCCACTCTGGGTCCCTGAGAAAGCAGGTTATTTGGTTTTCTGGTTATATTCTTTGCAAACTCTCTGCTTCGTTTTAATGGCATTGTTTTGGCTTTGTTTTCTAGTTGCATATAATAGTTCATTTTTTTACATTAATTTTAAGAGAGGATGTGATTTAAGCTGTTTTAAGTGACCTGAGCTTGAAATGGTCACATCTGCTGTTTAGCAGTAGTGAGGTGCTTATTTCAGTTAATTGGAGTAGTAGAGATAATTACAATTGATACCGATCAGCATCAATACCTCTTTGTTTGGAGCTGGATCCTGGTCCAATAGAGGGGCTTCATTGGCCTGGGTGGCTCCACTGCAGCTTTCCTGGCTGGTTTCTCCTGAGTTAAAGCCAGAGAATATAGACCAAGGGGCAACGGAGGGGGGAGTGAACCTATTGCTCCAGGAAGACTTGGGGGGAAACAAACCAATCCTTGTGGAGGAGGGGGAGGAGGCCCACAGCCTGGAGGAGGGGGTGGAGGTGGAGGACCTGGAAGACCTGGTAAAGGAGGAGGTGGAGGCGGACCAGGGAGTCCTGGTAAAGGAGGAGGTGGAGGCGGACCAGGGAGTCCTGGTAAAGGAGGAGGTGGTGGCGGCGGGGGAGGACCTTGAAGTCCAGGTAAAGGGGGAGGAGGGGGTGGCGGGGGAGGACCTGGAAGACCTGGTAAAGGAGGAGGTGGAGGAGGACCAGGGAGTCCTGGTAAAGGTGGAGGAGGGGGTGGCGGGGGAAGACCTGGAAGTCCAGGTAAAGGTGGAGGAGGGGGTGGCGGGGGAGGACCTGGAAGACCAGGTAAAGGAGGAGGAGGAGGTGGAGCAGAAGGACCTGTTGAACCAGATGGAAGGGTTGAATCTAGACCTGGGGGTAATGGAGGAGGAGGTGGAGGTGGGACCATAGTCCGGCCTGAGTGAAGAGTTGCAGTTTCGCCTCGAGGCAGGGGAGGTGCAGACGAAGGATCCAGCTGACATGCACAATCACGCTTGGATTGGGGCTTCTCAAAACCTCCATCCTGCTCTCTACAAGGCACTTTGAACCCAAAGCTGTCATCCATTGGCGAGGTCTGTACGGATTTGACCTCCTGACAGCCCAGCAGGGGTCCCGCCTCTGTTTGCAGATGGGCATCACGGAGAGCCCTCAACAGGCCATCCTCTCCTCCACATTCTCTGTCAGTCGTGGAGGTGATGGTCCTTGTACCCTTCTCCTCCAGAAGAGGGGGCTGACGTTCAAGCTCAGCAATCTTAGTCCTGAGGTCTTCAATAGTTTGTTCAAGCTGCTGGATAACATTAACGTGTTTTTCCTTCATCTTTTTTAAGGGCAAAACAAACTCCTCCTAAAGAAAGCGAAGATTATTAAATTAAAAATGAAAGGTTTAACCAAATTTTATACAAAACAAGAAAATAATAATTACACATGGTTTCATATTAATTACGTCTAGCATAGAATGAGTGGCGATAGGTGGATGGCTGGATGGATGGATGGATGGATGGATGGATGGATGGATGGATGGATGGATGGATGGATGGATGGATGGACGGACGGACAGATGGATGGTTGGATGGATGGATGGATGGATGGATGGATGGATGTATAAAGGACAAATGGATTGACCGACTGATGGATGGACGGACCTGTTGATGGACAGACCGATTGATGGACACACTGTTGGATGGATGGATGGATGGATGGATGGATGGATGGATGGATGGATGGATGGATGGATGGATGGATGGATCTATCTCTCTACACGATCAATGAGTTCGATGAGTTCCTTACACAAAATCAAAGAATGTAAAGAAAAATACAGAGACAGACCTCTGAGGGTGTCTCTTCGTTCTCTGGTTGTCTTGTTTTGGGAACAGCTTCATGATGATCTAGACACAAAAATCAGAGTGCAGCAACAACACTTTACCAGGTAAAAGTTGTAATTATTAAAAATGAGTTAAAAATATATGTTAGTTCTGAGAATTAGCCAAAAATGCATCAAATGCTTGGATCTGATTTCTGCAGTCTTCGAGGCTTGAGCGTCTGGGACTCTGGGTAGCATTTCCTGCGTTGTGTTGGCAAACATTTGGAATCCACCTCTTCCTCTGGGCAAGGACTGAACTTTAGGAGCAGGTTAGTGACTCACACATTCCTAATCATCCTCCGTCAGATTAACGTGGTTACTAACCCCAGTTTTCCCCTGCAGACATACCTGCCTTAGACATCCCTGCAGTTACTGCAGATCCATTGTTTTTTAATAAACACCTTTTTGAGAAATCTAACTGTATGTCTGCCTCGTTTACTGGGTCCTCTCTTCTGGTCCTTGACAATCTAACTGTCCAACTTAAATACTGGATCATATTGTTCTTAGCATGACACTTTCTAGCTGTTTCCATCCACACCTGCTTCCGAGTTACTGATTACTCCACTATTTGTTCTGTCTCCCATATATACTCCTCCTTTGCAATTCCTCATGGCTGGATTATCTTCCTTATTATGTGTGTTTCCTAGTTTTGGCTCCAGAGTTCCTTGTCTGAAATTTCTGGATTAATGCTTCTGTTACTCTTTACCTCTTCGTAAAATTTGCAAGAAAGTATCTCAGCCTTCTATCTCTGCATTTGGATCCTCTACAAATATCCACTACCCTATATATATGCTTAGGTGTATATTAATAGCTTCAAGGAGTAAAACAATTCAATTATTGTAACCAGTTAATGCTGCATATTTAATTAAGTCTTCCTCTTACCTCCATCCGTCGATTTAATCCCAGTCCTGTTTTCTCCCCCATGTTTTAATGGTGACCATTGGCTCTTGATTTGACCGATGAGTTTCCCCTCAAGTAGATCCAGTGAGTGTGGTGGCTGGTTGACTGCAGCCCAAGTATAAAGCTGGTCATGCTGCAGAGACACATTAATGTCATGAAGTCATTGTACTTTTGTCAAATCATTAAAGTAGTGTTTTAGTACCTTTCTTGCCTATGAGGTGGACTACAACATCTTTAGATTTCCATCTTTCTATGAGCAAACCCAAATTCAAATCCTGACCACAGTGACGGAGAGAGGGGGGTTTATTCAGTTACATTACCTACAGCCATATTTAAAAACAATAAAAGGTCTTTTAGCAGAAGTATTAAAGTATGAACAACGTGTTCCTACTCTCCACCAGCCCCCATTTTCCCTTCATTGAAAAAGCTACAAGAACTCATGTCAGCAAAAACGGTTCACTGTGAGCTCCTGGTAATCTCTCCAACATGGAGAGGAATTCCAGGGATTCGTGGACAGGGAATGAACTGAAAAAGTTAGTTTTTATGTGTTATATACGTACCGTAACTGAACAATGTTGAGTTATCCACTAAATTTCAAGGTATCAGATTGTGTTCTTTTTTTTCGGGTTTAAAAGTGAACAGGGTCGGGAGATGTTGTGAATATGCACATTAAGGTTTGAACAATGTTGAGTTATCCACTAATTCCCCGTCCACACGAAGCCGAACCCTGGCCTAAACGCACAAATTTTTCACCAAACCAGCCTCTCATCCACACGAAGCCGGCGTTTCGGGGGTCTGTAAACGATCTTTTTTTTATTCAGCCTTCAGAGTGGAAAGATTTCAAAACGCCGTTTTCGCGTTTCCATCTTTACGCTCTAACCGCATATTTTTTTTTACACGCATGCGTCATAGCGTCGCCTCTAAACACGCATGCGCGACACAGTATCACAACAACAATGGCGCCGTTGCTGCTAATGCTACTCACCCTGCTGTCGGGCTTACAACAGAATCTTCTTCTTCTGGAATATCTCCAGGAAGAACATTTGACTTAACCACGAAAATGGACCCGCAGGGCAACCATGTATAAATATTAGTGCGCACGCCCAACATTTCGTCGCTTATTTTTGCTTTGGCACCACAGCGCCACTTACAGGCCTGGCATACATTTTGCAGCGTTTTCATGCATTCGTGTGGACGCTCACATTTATTTTATGTCTCCGTCTTTACGGCAAACGTTTTGGAAAATATCAGCGTTTCGTGTTCGTTTTGACTTCGTGTGGACGGGGCCTTAATTTCAAGGTATCAGATTGTGTTTTTTTTTTTTTTCTGGTTTAAAAGTGAAGAAGGGCTGGGAGATGTTGTAAATATGCACATTAAGGTTTGAACAATGTTGAGTTATTGTAATTGCACTACGTTTTATCTGTAGGTTGAGCAATTTCAAAAGTTAATTTATTGTGAATGCGCTAATGTTTGATTCAGTGGTAGGCTGTTACATTATGTGTTTACTGAATCAGGGAAAAGTTCCCTCCACGTTTGAGTTAAGTTATTGTGAATACCCAAACATTTCAGTTCAAATTCATAGACCCCACTGCATTCCCCAAAATGCGTCTGGCTCTATTCAATTAAAGTCTATGTAGAGGAGACCATGGGAGTGAACAGAGTTATCAGAATGCTGGTTTGAATCGTATCAATAAAGTTTGACTGAATGATTTGTCTGTTTTTATGACATTTCCTCTAGCACAGCTCCATCAAGTAGATGTATAACAGAACCCCAGTCAAATGTTTGGCTGCAGCTTCTGTTCTATGCACCTTATATCCCAGTGCACCCTACATATGAAAACAGTTCTAAAATAGTCCTTTCATTAAAGCCTCAAAATCCAGTGCGAAAAATACAGTAATCAGTATTAAATAGTTAGCATGACTATCACTGCCCCTTGGTAGTTAGCATGGCTATCACTGCCCCTACAGAGTTAGCATGGCTATCACTGCCCCTACATAGTTAGCATGGCTATCATTGGCCCTAAATAGTTAACATGGCTATCGCTTCCCCTACATAGTTAGCATGAGTATCACTGCCCCTGCATAGTTAGCATGACTATCACTGCCCCTACGTAGTTAGCATTGCTATCACTGCCCCTACAGAGTTAGTATGACTATCACTGCCCTTAAATAGTTAGCATGACTATCACTGCCCCTACGTAGTTAGCATGGCTATCACTGCCCCTGCATAGTTAGCATGGCTATCACTTCCCCTAAATAGTTAAAATGGCTATCACTGCCCCTACGTAGTTAGCATGGCTATCAGTTCCCCTACAGAGATAGTATGACTATCACTGCCCTTAAATAGTTAGCATCCCTATCACTGCCCCTACGTAGTTAGCATGGCTATCACTGCCCCTAAATAGTTAGCATGGCTATCACTTCCCCTACATAGTTGGCATGAGTATCACTGCCCCTACAGAGTTAGCATGGCTATCACTGCCCCTACAGAGTTAGCATGACTATCACTGCCCCTACATAGTTAGCATGGCTATCACTGCCCCTAAATAGTTAACATGACTATCACTACCCCCTGCATAGTTAGCATGGCTATCACTGCCCCTACAGAGTTAGCATGGCTATCACTACCCCTAAATAGTTAACATGACTATCACTGCCCCTACATAGTTAGCATGGCTATCACTGCCCCTAAATAGTTAACATGGCTATCACTGCCCCTGCATAGTTAGCATGGCTATCACTGCCCCTACAGAGTTAGCATGGCTATAACTACCCCTAAATAGTTAGCATAGCTATCACTGCCCCTACATAGTTAGCATGACTATCACTGCCCCTACATAGTTAGCATAGCTATCACTGCCCCTGCATAGTAAGCATGGCTATCACTGCCCTGCATAGTTAGCATGGCTATCACTGCCCCTAAATAGTTAAGATGGCTATCACTGCCCCTGCATAGTTAGCATGGCTATCACTGCCCCTACAGAGTTAGCATGGCTATAACTACCCCTAAATAGTTAGCATGGCTATCACTGCCCCTACATAGTTAGCATGACTATCACTGCCCCTACATAGTCAGCATGGCTATCATTGCCCCTACATAGTTAGCATGACTATCACTGCCCCTACATAGTCAGCATGGCTATCACTGCCCCTACATAGTTAGGGACTCATTTCCTACCGGGATTAGCTTCATAGTCATGGTACGTAGGACACTTCTTTGATTTTACTGTGGAGAATCTTTTGGCAATTAATCTTTTAAGATTTGGAACATTGCAACATTGCAAATTAATATTCGAATCCTTTCAAGTCAAATATTTTTTAAATTCAAATTCAGTTAATTAAATTGAAACAGCTGAAATAATTTTCAAAATCTGAAAAAAACTGCTAACTGTTAAAAAGTTAAAGTTAAAATTATTCAAACAGATCAGCTAAACTATATTTACCATTGACCGGATGACAGGCATTCTGCAAGTCACATGAGGGACCTTACAGTCAGATGTCAACATACGATTCATTTATGACCATTTGCCAGACATTAACATCACATTTCTGTATCTGTATAATGGGTCTGTTTTATGTGTTGTCTTCTCAAATCAGAGGCCCCCATGCCTGTCTTTGCCTAGGGCCACACATTTCCTAAATCCGCCCCTGTTTCCATTCTCTCTCTCTCTCCTGGGTTTCATCTGTTGTGCCCAGAATGACCTCCCCTGTCGAGGGAGCGCTCATGAGCACTGATGAGAAAACGGACTGAAATATGAACGAAATTAAACATTCATCCTGTTTTCATATTTTTTTATACAAGGATGCCTTAAAATTGATAGATTTGGTTAATTTGAATTAATAGGATTTTACTTTGGGCTGCTCAGTGGGGCAGTGGGTGCCTTGCAGCAAGAAGGTTCTGGGTTCAATTCCCGGCCCGGGGTCTTTCTGCATGGAGTTTGCATGTTCTCCCTGAGCATGCGTGGGTTCTCTCTGGGTACTCCGGCTTCCTCCCACAGTCCAAAAACATGAGTGTTAGGTTAATTATCTTCTCTAAATTCTCCTTAGGTGTGAGTGTGTGTATGAATGGTTGTTTGTCTCTGTGTTGCCCTGCAATGGACTGGCGACCTGTCCAGGGTGGACCCCGCCTCTCGCCATTGACTGCTCGTGACCCCACTCGGGATAAGCGTCTCAGATAATGGATGGATGCATGGATGAAGGATTTTACTTCTTTGGAGACACGTTTCAGTCAGTGTGAAATGAATAAATTCTCTGCTCAGTGGATGCCAACTTCCCATTTTGCTATCAACACCATTCTAGATAATTTCTGACACTTTATTTGTTAAACTTAGAAGCTGGAACCTGTGAAAGATTCCCTCCCCTCCTTATTTTCACATTTCCTCAAATCGGGTTGTCTGTGCCGCTTGGCCTTGATGCTGTTCAGAACATCGCAGGCTGTGGGCTACTTGTGAGCACACAGCCCGCCAAATGTTGAAAGGGCCATATTATTGCCATTACTGTTAATATATAATAGAAATTTACGAATTCAGTAATTAAATGTTACAGGGGATGGTATGGGGGGATGCCATCCCCCCTCATCCCCCACCCAACTTGAGTATTGACAGTAATCAATCAGATGATGAATAACATCTGACCATCAGAAAATGTTGTGACAAGTGACAGGAAACATGGCAGAAACAATCTGTACGTACATCAAACTTGACTGATGCAGTGGAGGGGATGTGAGCAGTGCTGCCCCCCATCTGTTCTCTGAAGCAGTCTGTAAAAGGAAGCAGGAGACCCATGGCCAAGATCTTAGAGCAGAGCCTCTCGGCTTCCTCTGGTTCCTCCTGCTGCTGCTGCAGGAACAGCTTCTCAAGGAGCGTGCGACCTGAACAGGGCAGAATAAACAGGGAAAATAACTGCTACATGAAACCAATAGGTTCTTTAAATCAGCCTGGTCAGTCAAATTTATCTATGAGATGCTTTTAAAAAGTTATGCTGCTATAGGCCTATACTTCTGGAGGACATAGGGACCCCTTTTTCATCATTCTTCTTCATTCTATCTCTACAGTATTCTCCCACTCTGCATCTATAAACACCTTTGTTTATAGATGATAGAGATCAGCCTGTTTTTCAGTGTAGTCCTGTTTCTCTGACTGTGACTAACTGGATGTGATCTCTTCATCCTCTGACATGGAAGCTGGCTCGAAGCTCGTCTGCCTGGCTGTGTGTTTCCTGGACGGGGAAACACACTGTGGAGCTGGTTGACTTCTGTATCTATGCTTTTTTTCTATGTCTGCTTCTGTCTCCTTGAACTCCAGTCGGCCTCAGAGGATGGCCGCTCACACTGAGCCTGATTCTGCTGGAGGTTTCTTCCTGTTAAAAGGGAGTTTTTCCTCTCCACTGTCGCTACAAGCATGCTTAGTGCGAGGGATTGCTGAAGAGTCAATGAGTCAATGCCATCAGCTGGTTTTTGCTTAGATAGGAAACTTTGAATCTTGATGATTTGGTGAACTGGAAAGTGCCTGGAGATAACGTGTGTTGGGAATTGGTGCTATAGAAATAAACTGAATAGAATTGAATTAGAAATAGCTTGTAACCTCAGTAAAATGCTGTGCAGTTTTCATAAAACCATAATTGAATGAAGCATTTTTGAAAATATAAAGTAAGGACAAATAGTTCAGGCCGTTTACAGTCAGACCCTATTTAATTAAATGTCAAGGAATATAAATGAGCTTTCAGCAGTGATTTGAAATTATCCAAAATTTGAACAAATCTTACATTGAAGGTTAAGCTTCAAATACTTCAAATACTTGGTCTCCACTGCTTTTAAATCTGGTAGGAGATTGCAGGATTGTGAAGCCGTCCTTGAGAAGAACTTGGAGGTAAGCAGGGGCTAAGCCATTTACATGTTAAAAATCGAAAATGTTTAAATGATTTCCATAAGATACAGCTAGCTTTACCACCAAAAGGGCAAAAAAGGAAGAAAAATACATTCACACTGAAAAATTGGGAATTATTTCCCCTTGTAATTAAAGATGTAATAAAAGACATTAGTGAACCAAAATGGGCCTATTTCTTTGTTAAAAGGTGACAGTCCAAAGTCAAACAGAAGTGATTAAGGTTAAGGGGAAAATATTCATTGTATAAACGTCACCATGTTGCACAAAAACAGCATTAAAATAGTAAAATGATGCATTGCCTGGTTGCAGGATTTCTGCCACATGAGGCATCAGTTTGAACTTTTCTTTACAATTTATTTCAACAATATTTTATTGGTATTATTTTTACATACATGATCCAGTCCTCCTCTAAATGTAATCCAGTGCAATGCAGACATCAACTAATAAGTAAATCTACCTTTGTATAATTTAAAACAAAGGTAATTTGAGCTTTTTTTAGACATTCATTACAAGCGGTTTGTCAGGAGATGGCACCATGATGACAAAGAAAAGAAAAAGAAAAAAAAAAGAGAAGAAGTTTAAATCAGGGATAGTTTAAAGAAAAAACAATCCCAAACCTTCATCGTCTTATGCTACATTCAGACCGCATGTGATAGAAGCAGCAAAAATGCGTCTGCTGCTTCATTTTTGATGCGTGTATAAATTAAGGTCAGAAGCATCTCAAGTGCTTCTTTAACACACTACATTTTAAGTTAATTTAGGTGTTAATAAACTGTTTCAGAGGAGTGATCATAGCACTCTGCATCAGCAGTGCTGAGTCTGACTCCCTGCCGGCTCCCAGATCAGCTTCTCTGATTGGTTGATGCGGCGCATCCAGCAGCTAAAGTAAATTTTTTCAAAATCCAGCACCCGCGTGTTGCTGCGCCTTGATGCGTGTCAGCCATTGCCTTTGCATGTAAACCAGCAGCTTCTGCTGCTTCAGTAGGTCTGAATGTAGCATTACAGAGCTCTACTTACGCCAACATCTAACCCTAACCCTATCTAAAGGAAAAGTTGTCCAACAACAGAAACCTACCAGAACATGGCGTTCCAACCTAGGGTACTAGCTTGCTAGCTAAGCACAGTTCTCACTGTAAAGCACTTTTGATAGAAATAAAAATCCTAAACACTTACAGTAAAATGTGGATCCAACTCCAACATAGCTTTTAACATCATTAATGCAAAGCAAACACACATGCAATCCAGTAATGTGATCAAAAAAATTGGGAAGAACTAAATCCAGGTCTGAAACACAGGTTATATATGCAAACAGCCACATACTGAGGGCCAGAGGAGCATGTATGAGACTAGTAAGATCATCACTGATTGATTTCTATGTTCATGGGCTAACAATGACAGAAGGTCCAGCTTGAATTGAGCATCTTCAGACGATGAGATAGAGCTCTGACTGGGCAAAGCTCAGTACATACTTTTATACAGCAACTCCCAATACACACACTCTCCCTTGGAACTGTCCCACCCCTACATAAAGAACTTTTTAACACAAACATTTGGTTATTCCCAAGAAAAATACTTCAATTCATCAAGTAGATAGATTTTAGCCAGATAAACATTCAGAACAGGTCTCCCTTTCACGGCACGAAGGAGGCTGTGTGAACTCATTCTTATCTCTCATCACCCTGCCTTCACCCCTGTCTATACTAAGGAAGCATTTGGTTTCTGTCATCCCCAATATTAACTCCATAACTGGACTCCAACGTAGAGACTGGTAGAATCATCCATATTTGTGCAGAGAAAAGGCACTATCAAAATATTTAGCTCACAAATTTGCCAAGGAAAAATATGCTTCCACAGCAGCATCAGTGAGACATTCAGAGAAGAGAACAGGTAGATTCTGGACTGAAGCTGTTCTGTTATGTTCAGTACTTTGCTATGTTTACCGTCTATATACTGGGGCATTAACTAGTTGACTAGTTGACTGTCTTTCTATGATTTAAATCTAAAATTTCCAAGACTAAGACTTAAATATAACCTTTTTCCCCCCTGTATTTGAATAAAACTGTAAATGGGGAAAAAAACCATACTTCGAGCCGCAATTCTGATGCATTAGAAACTTCAGTAGTATTGAAAAGCAGAGATTATACAAATTTACAGTGAAGCTCGATACAAAATGTGGCGTAATGAGGCCTCGCTCACAGCGGCAACGTCACTGGGGTGGTTTTTGGTATAGGTCTATTTTGAAGTCATAGCCCCCCCCAGAGAAAACTCCACCAGCCGCCATTGGCTGTAGTGTAGTCAATGACCAACGACTCTACTCTGGGGAAAGAGCAATGGAGCAGGACTTTGATGGTATGACTGTTGATCCTTGTCAAGGCCGGTTTCAGTGCACCAAAGGGTTTTTTCCCTGTTGTTTTGACGTGGGAAAACATAGCCTGTGATGTAGATGAAGTCCTCTGACTGGACGGCGCACAGAGGCAAGTTATTGTTAAATGAATCTCAGCCAGTAAAATGCTTCTCTGTTAAATTTCAAGTTTGTTCAGAAGATATTTCATATAAGTTAAATTAAAAATAACATTTCTGTGAGTTCCATGCACTAGTTGCTTTGTCTTGAATTTTTTCCTGTGGTGTCTAATGAATGTAAGAACTGAACACATTGTTTAACTTTGACCACATCACAGGGAGGGTGTGGTTTCATGGGGATGTCTGTCGTTTTGTCAGCTTAGTTTAAGGATTTGTTTCAGAGAGGATTTTCTTAGAAAGCCCTCAGACAGACGCGTTACCCGTCTAGGGCAGACCCGCCTTCCCCCTATGGACTGCTGGAGGTAGGTACCAGCCCCACCGTGACCCTAACGGATAAACAGGACATGATGGATGACGATCTGTACATAAAGATTGTTGTAAACTGGTTGGTGTTGCATCCAAAGACTTTTTGAGTCCTGTAAAGAGCCTTACATTTAGAAGCATAAGCAGTTATAAGACATTAATACAACATCATCAAAGAAAGCTGATTGTTTTCTCCCGATGAACGTAGGAGGTTGATACATTTTTCTCTTGCACGTTCTTTACCCACCTGTGAAAACATCCTGGAAAGGACAAAGGGAGACCTGTCCACATGAGGATCTTCTGGTGGCACAGATAGGTTGACTGCCTCCTCCTCTGTAGCCCATCAGATAATCTCCTGATTCTCCTCCATCCACTTCTCTGCCTCTCAGCCTCCTTTCCAGCTCCTCTGTCCAGTCAGCTGAGCGGCTTAGAGCCCCAGTGAGGCTCAGAGACCGCTGTCTGTGAGTTTCATGCTCTCCGACAAACGTCCTGGAAACAATTAGATTTAAAGTTAATTTCCAGGTAACCCTCAGAGAGCAGGAAGAATGGGCCAACCTTCTACAGAAGGCAAGGCCACCACTCTCTGGCATTGAGACGCAACATTATCAGAATAAAGCCATAATATTATGAGAATAAAGCTGAACAATAACGAGAATGAAGCCATCATGCCAAACCCCGTTTCTGAAACAAAGCTTCAGACATACTGATATTAATAATAATTTGATGCTAAAGGACTTAATATATCCTTTTTAGTGAAACAGATGCCAAAATTTAATTTCACAAGATGCCCGACAATCCCCATTTTGCGAAGACAGTGCTTCTAGTAACAGTTGTCATAAAATACAACTTTATTTTTGTAAAATCAGGACTTTATTCTCCTAATGTTGCAGCTTTATTCTCGTAATATTACAACTTTATTCTGGTAATGTTGCGACTTTATTATAATGACTTTATTCTCCTAGTATTACAAATTTACTCTCATGATATTGCGACTTTATTCATGCAATATTATGACCAGAGATGGGAAGTAACGAAGTACAAATACTTCGTTACTGTACTCAAGTAGATTTTTCTGATATTTTTACTTTACTTTACTACTTATTTTTATGGCAACTTTTTACTTCTACTCCTTACATTTTTACACAAATATCTGTACTTTCTACTCCTTACATTTAAAAAAATTGGCTCGTTACTTTAGTTTTGAATCATTTCAATGGAGTTACCGTTATTATTTTTCACGTCATCAATACCAAATTCAATCTAATTGGATGGGAATCTACGTTGCATTTGACGCACCACTACAAGATGAATCGACAGATTCGGCGGTATTCATTCGCGGCAAATCATAGCAGCTTGGTGGCGGCGGCGTTAGCATAGTAGCATGGACGACGAGATGATTGAAAATGAACACAACGGAGATCTAGTCCTATTGGCAGACATCCATTTAAAATGTAGGCAACAGCATGAAAAAAGTGGTTTCTACTTTTACTTTTATACTTTAAGTAAATTTACAAGCCTGTACTTTGTTACTTTTACTTGAGTAAAGAAGTTTAATCAGTACTTCCACTTTTACCAGAGTATTTTTTAACACAAGTATCTGTACTTTTACTCAAGTACGGAAAGTGAGTACTTTTGCCATCTCTGATTATGACTTTAATCCCCTTTATATTATGAATTTGTTCTCGCAATGTTGCAACTTTATTCTTGCGAAGACAGTGCTTCTAGTAACAGTTGTCATAAAATACAACTTTATTTTTGTAAAATCAGGACTTTATTCTCCTAATGTTGCAGCTTTATTCTCGTAATATTACAACTTTATTCTGGTAATGTTGCGACTTTATTATTATGACTTTATTCTCCTAGTATTACAAATTTACTCTCATAATATTGGGACTTTATTCACGCAATATTATGACTTTAATCCCCTTTATATTATGAATTTTTCTCACAATGTTGCGACTTTATTCTCATAATATTACGACTCCTGAGGGAGGGCTGAGGAGCAAAGATGCATTTCTATTGGTCAGCTGGACGTTGGCTCAACATTTTTAATCATCATTAGCAAGCGTTTAGATTGGGCTTAATTTGAAGAGACTATGATGTATAAAATGCAACTTTAAAAAATAATATTCATAAGAATCGATCTGAAAAAGAGAAATTTGAAAAAAATTAATTTTAAAAAAGTGGAAAAAATGGATAAAATCTGAGAAAGTTACTCTCAAAATATTTTTTCTTATTCAGAAGTTGTTCAAAGTTTTAGTTTTGGATTATCCTTTTTTCTCCAATTGCACACCATGTTCTTTGCTTGAAATTATAATGGGGCAAAATTAACTCCATAAACTAAAAGATGCAACAAAGTCTGAAAATATAAAATCTGTAAAAAAACTTTTTTTGAAATATAAGATATGAAACAATTTAAATACAAAATAAAACTTGAAAAAGAATTTCAAAAAGTTTTTCAAAAGAGAATTTTTCATTTATTAGGTTTTTTTGGGGGGGATTGCAACTTTTTCCCATTTCAAAATGTCTTCTTTACCCATAACAATAATGGAACAATATTCACTCCATATTACATAATTACCAATAGGCAAAGAAGTAACGATCCAGTTTGGAGAAAGTAACCAGTATAAATTCAGATATTTGTGTTTTAATATAAGGAGTCAAACCAAAAAGTCTACAAAAAGATTTCAACTGAAGTACAGATATGGAAAAAAAAAAGCGTCCTAACTACTTGATGCTTCTAAAACTGTTAAATGAGACAAGCGTGCAGCATTAGTGTGTACCTGCGGCTGTGGAGGTGGGCTCTGCGTGGTGACAGGGGGCTATGGGAGGGAGACAGAGCGGGGGAGTGTCCAGGCGTGCTGAGCTGCCGCGTGGTGGTCTTAATGTAGGATGGAAAGACGGTGGGGTAGGATTTAACAGCGTGGCTGTAAAAGTTAGAGGGGTGGGTAGACTTTAGGAGCTGCTTTGCCAGCTTTGGGCTCCCCTGGGGGGGCAGGGTGACGAAGCAAATGTTGCCCCTGCCGCAGTGCTGGTCGGGCGGAGAGGCACTGGGACAGGAAGCGACGGGTTGGTTTGTTTTGGAGCCCACTATGGGACATTCGTCCAGGGACTCGGCACTCGTAGCTGAGCCTAAGTGAGCGTCGAACACGTCCCCTGAGCTCAGTCCCTCTGCAGCTTCAGGACTTTTACTGCTGCTGTCCGGAGCGGGGCTCAGGTCTGCTTCCTCCAGCTTTCTGGGACTTTTCCCTTCACTGTCAATTGAGACATCAGGGGAGCCATTATCACTGGTTTCCATAGCGACTGGTTCGGCTGCTACCCCCCCAGTAGCCATGGAGACGTTCTCATGCTGGTCTTTTGTGCTGGTTTCTCTCTCCCCCTCTCCTCCCATGCTTAACTCCAAAGGCCCCACCTTTTCCTGGACGTCCCCCTGTCCCTTCACCTCTGAGGGAGGGCAGAGGTGTGTCTCTCTGCTCGGCAGCAGTGGAGGCGGGTCTTTGGCTTTGGCAGACGGAGGACTTTCACTCTCTAGGAAGGACAGAGCATCCGAGGCCACTTCTAACTCTGGGGTCGTCTCAAGAACCTCCTGAGGAGTTAACCTCTCGATCCCATTCCTCTTCTTGGTCATGTCCTCCGGTGCTTTAAGGGTCAGGTCCCTGCCTCCTGAAACCGCCTCGGCGATGGCGTTTCCACCATCCAGATGTTGCTGATGCTGCAGCCTGATGGCCAGCTGGATGTCTGCGAGTAAATCCTCATGGTCAGCCGCTGAGTGGAAGCTGTAAATATCAGTGTCTGATCCTGAGCTGCCTCCCTTCTGCCCTCCTTCCTCTGTGGGTGAGGTTGCTGCTGTTGAGGCTTTCCTCTGCACCTCCAACTTCTCCTCTTCTCCTCCTTCTCTCTTCCTGATTTCCCGTTCTGGTTTCTTTTTCTTTTCGGGGAAAGCCGTCTCTGAATCAGAGTGTCCCAGCTCGTCTGCGGACAGGTCAGGTGTTTTGCTGCTGTCCAGCTCATCGTGCTGTGATGCCAGATCAGGAATCGATGAGCACGTGTCCCCCTTCCCTTTATGGTTGGTCTTTCTCTTTCGCAGGGAAAAAACGGAGGACTTGGAGTCGGATTTGTTTCTTTTTTTGCCTGCTCCTGTGCCATGTGTCCCTCCTCCTCCACTGCTGTTTGCTCCTTTACCTCCATGCTTGCCATAGTGTTTCTTGCCCCCCTTTTTGGTCAAGTCCCCCCCTCCCTCCCTCCATCCGTCATCCAGTGAAGGGTAGCTTCCATTACCAGATGCAGGTGCAGCTCGTTTTTGCTTTGCCTCCTGATTTCCCATGGTGATGGGATGGAGCGATGGCCGCCGTCTTCTCTTCTCAAGGCATGCCTAGAAGAATTCCCCGTCTCTCTGGGGAGATTGATGCTTCTGGCTAATAAAGGTGAAGATGCTGTGACATCATCTAAGAATCAGTAGCTGATGGATGTAGATGAAACTCTGCTGCAGCTAATGGTGTTTATTCTCTATAGCTTCTGCCATCTGTGATCTGTTTCTTGTTGTTTTCCGGTGACGAAGGCAGTGATGCTGGCGCTGATGCAGGAGAGACACACAGCACCCTCCTTCTCCTATGCTGTGTCTTTCTTACCCTCCCCCCTCCTTCTCTGCTGAAAAGGACGGCGCATGCTCTGTGCTCTCATTGGTAGTCTGACAGGGAGGAGGACCAGGAACAAAGCCCCATCCTGACAGATGTCATTACCTTTATAGCTCATTTTAAAGTCTCGCACTACATTTCCCATGATTCTCATTCTCTTTCTACAAGATCTACGAATGGGTTGGTCACAATGTAAAAAAATGAAATCTTAATAAGTAATTTTTCTTAAAATATGTGCATTTTTTCTTGAATTAAGGAGGTAAGTGAGACACTTTGCCAATGGAACAAGACAATTTACATTTAAAATAAGAACATTTGTATTGTCTTGTTCCAAGTGCAGATTATCTAATAACCTTAACTAAAGAGTAAAACTAATCATTCCATCGGCTAATCATCCCATTTACCTGCTTAAATTAAGCAGAAATAAACTTGTAAGCAAACTAAAATAGTTTTTTTCTGTGTATTTTGTTTCATTATTGTTGCAAACAAAAACATGTTTTGAAAATGGGGGGGGACTGCAATCTAGACACAAAATGTTTTAAAATTTCTGATTCCTCTTTTTCTGATTATTTTTTCTGAACTGTATTTTGATCGTTATCATGTTTCATGGATCACTTTAGGTGGGTTCGAGATGGACAACACCTCGCCTGAAATGAGGTTGAGAGTTTCCGGCAGTGCTGATGGGCGGGGTTAAAAGTCTGTGATAGCGATGGACAGAGCTGTCTGCGACTGAAGCTGATGCACCACATTTGCATTATGCAACTTATGTATAGAAAATACAAAATAAAACAATTCTAAAATAAACTCACAAACACACATATACATATTTAACATATATAAACACACATCCAAACCAAGCAGAAGAGCATCCTGGATGTAGAGAACAGCCTGGAAAAGCTGTTTTTCTCACTGATCTATCAGAGCTCATCAAAGTAAAACTAATTAAGTCATTCAGACTATAATTTTTTTCCCAATTCATCAAGTGTAAATGTGATTATAAGGGAGTTACTGAGCGGAGCTCTACTTTTTCCTATTTTGTATTTATTTACATTCCTTACTAACATCCTTACTAACAAAATATTTTATTTTATTTATTTATTTTTTTGAGATAGAAAGCATAAATTTATAAAAATGAAATGCTCAAATTAAACGATTAAATTAATAGTCTTTATTTCAATTATTGTACGTTCCACTTTTGGACAATTATCAATAGTTTTGACTGAGAGGGGAACTCAAAATTGTCCAAAGGGTAACACAAGTCAAAAAAGGTTGGAAACACTGATCTAAAAGGACCTGCTTTAATTTCTATTGTTGTATTAAACAGTAACTTTACTGCTGTAATTGTGATAATACAGATATAATAAAGATTTTAAACAATAAGTAGTGCCATGGTTTGAGATATACATTATCATAGCATCTCATATCATTTCTAAATGGCAAATCATCTTACTGGGCAATAGTAATGAACCCCAACCTACAGTAAATCCAAGGTTGAATTACACAAACTTTCATGTTTGAGCTGAGAAACGTAACTGCAAGTCAAAATCCAACAACACAATCATTTCATAGAATGATGCTGTAGAGCCCAGAAAGCCAGTATTCCAGCTGAGAAACATTTCTGTCTAATGTTAATGTTGGGTGGTGTTCATGTCACTTTGTGCATGTTGTTGCTCCACTATAGAAATGGTTCCGCATCTTCTCCCAAATGCTCCGCTTCTCCAGAAACACCAGCAGGAGTGATGTCATCACCATCACACCTTTGAATAGCAAACATATGCTAACAGCATTCTTCCATTCACATCATACTGTGTTCTAACTTGTTGGTAGTTAGAATATGCTGGTACACATATTTCTAATAGAATATTTGTATCATAATCTGGGGGAGGGGGGGGGGGGGGAATAAATCTGTCACTTTTTTGCATTGCTTCTTATCCTCACCTGCACCGCTCGCTAGCTACACAAATCACAGCAGCCGGCTCCAGGCACACGTCTAACACCCCTTCCTCCGGACTGACTGTTGGGGTGGGTGTTAATTGAAATAAACCAATCGTCTTTCCCTCCTCACATGCTACTGGCCTAAGTGGCCTGGCCTGTCTCTGTGATAGGTGCGCCGCCACTGCACCAGCAGACTTTAAAATAAATAAATAAGACAGACGCAGGCTAATCCCAGGCCAGTTTCCATCGATTAGTCCAAGGCAGAAACAGCTGTCATCCCCTCAGTGATGTCAGTCATGTCAGCCTTTCTTCTTCCTCGTGATCTATACCCCACTTGTTGACAGTCACAGCAGGGGGCTTTTTGGGGGCTTTTTTTAATGTAGACAGAGCTTGCCTGGAGACACTCTCGGACATGACAGCGTCAGCAGTGGAAATAGTAATCCCTCCTGCTGTCAGTTTGTGCCAAGCAGAAGATTAATTTTGCTGACTTGTCTGAACTTGAACCATGGCTGCCTTTGTTAGTGCTGTCAGCTTTGCTCTGAGAGTTCTGCAGAACGACAGTTCCCACCTCTACTTTGAGTCCTGAAAACTAAGCTACGACATAAGCACCCCTGTCTGCTAAGGTCTGGGTCTATGTAATGATGGAAGTTGTCCTCCAGTCCAAACAGGCAGCCCTGTAGTTTAAATTATAAACAGGAGAGCTACAGGGCATCCAAAAGTTTCAGAACAGGTTAACTGTCATGATCTTGGCACTGATGACCATTTCATTCACCTGTCTAACTCTGCCCGGTTTCTCATCACTGCTTATCTGATCCACCTGCTTCTGCCTCTATTTAAGGTGTTTGCCTGCAGTCATCAGAGCCAGATTATTCTTGTTCTCCCATGCCTTGGAGTGCAGTAAGCAACCTAGTCCTCCCTCTGCCTGCTCCATCACACTGCCACACATGTAGGTTCTTGGGGAGGGGGTCGTTACTGGAGGGTCCCACCTTCTGATGATGTCCCCCACCCCAATTTTATTTAGCATTTTAGACACATCCATCTACAATATTTTCACAACACACATCTATGTAGGGCATTGTTTGGGGCGGTGGGGGTCAAGGGCACCCCAGGGGGGCCTTATTTCGGCCTCACCGCAGTCGGCACCCCTCTCGCATTTAAACATTGGCATGCCACATATCTGACTCAATAACCATTAAAACAACTATTTTCATTCATTTCAGACGGAACTATTCACAGACTGGGAATATCTTAATCTGCACTTCCAATATTCACCAGTGTTCGGCGCCATTTCTTTTCTTCCAGCTCTCAAGAGGTGATGCAAAAACATTCTTTAATTTCTGCCCAAAAGGAATCCCCAAATTATATCCAAAGTAAATATTTCATTGCTTACTGATCATTTTTGGATAAAGACCGTGATGGATCAATGGATCAATGAAGATTTTATTGATCTGTGTTTAATGCATAATTCATAGTAGACCAGGAAGTGTTTGCTCTGGGATGGAAACCTTGGATGTCTAAAACCATTCCTTTATTAGACATTTTGTTAGCTTGTCTCTCCTCTATATTAACCAATATTATGTGTTGAAGTAGATCTGCTATTTTCACAAATGTTGTGAGACACTTTTTTTATAAAGTAATGCATTAATTCATAAAAAAGTTTATTTAAAATCTATAAATCAAAGTTTTCTGCCCAACAGCAATGATGATCTGCACGGCAGCATTCTATACTCAGCTATTGTAGCATCTAGGATAGAGCTGTCAGTCTGGGAAAGAATCTGGTTGTTATTCGAAATTGTAAAGATTAACTTTTTTATCAAGTGCAATGTAAAACTGACTAGAACTAGACTAAAACCTTTTCACATATAGTAATGACTAAAACGTGACTAAAACGAATAGTAATTTTCGTCTGGAAGAAGGAAACTAAGACTAAATCTAAGATGGCTGTCAAAAGCAACACTGATTATAACATTCAGTAATAAATTACGGTTAAGTCCCAGCTGCTGTCAGAGAGAAACATTCCTGTCTCCTTGATGGTAACACCATGTGCTCTTCTTTTGTTTGTGACTCGTGGAGGAAAATTCCCCGATCACAAGCCTGGGGGCAGAAAAGGAAAAAGGTGTAATTGGATATTTGAACTGGATGTACTAGGAAATCCTAATTTTATTAGTATATTCATGTTTTTATTTAGTCTTTTTGAAAACAAAATTATATGCATGAATGTATTACAGAGACAAAGTGGGTCAATGCTGCACACCTGTAACTGAGTATCGTTACCAAAATGCATTCTTAGTTTGCCCAACTCTGGCCCTCTCAATGGCTTCTTGCTCTTGTGGGCTGACAGAAAGCGATGAAACCACATTCAGATCTCTGTCTTCTGCGCTGTGATAACCTGGACTTGCCACCATTAAAAGGTCTAAATAGGGACATTCTAGATTTGAAATAAAACCGACCGTCGCAGTCTTGGTTCTGTTCAGTTTTCTTTTAAGTCTTCAGTTTTACTTTGATCCATGTTTTCTAGTTTTATTGGTTTAATTCCTATTTTGTTGTGATTTCTGGATATATTTGAGTCCTTAGGTTTTTCTTTGTTGCCTTCTGTTGCCCTCCTATGTTGGTCTCCCTTTCCCTTGCTCCCTTCTAGAAGCCTCTGTTCACACCTGCTCCCATTCAGCTCATTAGTCCTGTCTTTGCTCAGTCTCCCATATATACTATCCCTGTGCAGTTCCTCAGTGGTGTTTCCCCATCTTTCCCCAGCTCCTCTTGCACGTTTTCCCTGATATCTCCATGGTTCTGTTTTTTTCTGTACTTTTATGTCGGATTTATGGATTCCTGCCTTAGTTGCCTCTGAGTAATTTTATTAAATCTACAAAAACTCACCTCTGTCTCCTCACCTCTGCATTTGGATCCTCAAAACCTCAACTCAACCTGACACTACAAACGGGCTGCCAAATTTCAACCCTTTGCAATCTGTACTTACATCTATTATATTAAATTTAATATTTTCTACGGCCGTTTACTGCTATCCATATGATGGTTTGTCTTGTCATTTTTTACTCCACTCTTATTTA